CCTAACTTGCATGTTGAACCAAAATGGCTACTTCACCTAACTTGCATATTGAATCAAAAGGGCTACTTCACCTAACTTGCATGTTGAATCAAAATTGGTACTTCACCTAACTTGCATGTTGAATCAAAATGGCTACTTCACCTAACTTGCATGTTGAACCAAAATGGCTCTGCTGGGACTCACTTGCATTGAAAATTTTTCTCCCATTCAGAATCAGAATAAACTTTATGTCATTGCACCGAGATACAACGAGAATATGTACGTACAGTCGTCCGAAAGATGGGCAGCGTGCACGAAGCTGTAACTATAAAAAGCGCTGCATTCATTATTCTTATTTAGAATAATATTTTGCTTAGATGAGAAAAGGGAAGAAAACATGAGGAGAGACGGTATAAAAAAAGATCTCTCATGCCGTGTCCTAGACAGGGCACGATTTGAAGCATCAAAAAACCTACCACAGCAAAGCAACATAAACAGACGTTATGCATGTACATATAGGCCGGTGAAGACATTGATTTTTTTAAGGGAAATTTGGCATCTTTGTTAACAAAATATGTCACCATGGTAACTCCAATTGCCAGTAAAAGTAATAGCACACATCTTGGAGCCGGGCCATTCATTTTGATATAACTTTTGTGGGGGTTCATGTTGCGGTTCGGGTTGCATTAACGGAGACGGAACAATTATAAGCCTGCATTGCCTTGTGAGGCAAGGCAATGCAGGCTTATTAGCTACCTTAGGACTATCAGGATAATTAGCTACATTATCTGCATTTCGCAAGGCAATGCACTGCCTTTCATGTTGAAACAAAATGGCTACTTTACCTACCTTGCATGTTGTAGAATGAACATATGCTGATATATATTCATAAATTAAACGGATTCTTTCATTTTTCTGGACTGTATAATATACGTGCATTGAATTTAATAAAATGTGGACGGAAACGTTAATTATCTTTGACTCACCAACGACAGTGGGTCATTTATTAACAGAATCAAGTTTAACACATCACACATTTACATTAACTGGCAAAAATTGAAAATAACGGCAGCTTATTTAGCAAGTTTTACAAGGAAGACCATACGGCGATGGTTGAAAACCTTGCTTCCAGCTTCACACAGACATTAACCACACGGCGGTGGTTGAAAAACTTTGCTTCAGACATTTCTAAAAATATCTGGATTAATTTCTTAGCAGATAGAAGAGTTTAAAGATTGAAGTTTAGAGGGAGGGAGATGGTGTGTGTGTGATTGAAAAGTGTTGAACAGAACGGCACCCTCCATTCGACCCAGCTTTCCTCGGTACGCTCGGTAGTGAACTCGACTCATTACCTCTCTGACGATGAATCAGTGGAAGCGGAGCTCCAGTTACGCTACCGGTCCAGCGTCTCCGTAGGATGGCAGAGAACCGTCCGGAGTGGTGGCGGGACTTCGTCAACAACAGTTCACCTCACGAGTGGACTTCACATGAGTGGAGTCCGTCAGAGTGCCACTCAGAGGTGGAAGATGTCATAATCCCCAATACTCGGAAGAGCTCTGGATCATATCGGGATTTTCCTGTTTCCCAAACGACTGGAGCTGCAAACTCTCCACCCGACTCCAACTGGGTTGAACTAGGAAGTACCAACATTTAAAGAGCTCTATTTCCGGTTCATTTGGGAGTTTCTGATTGGTCGATGGACCAAAACAGAGGTGTGTTTTGTGATGTAAGGTGTTATTAAAAAGTCAAGGAAAAAGATTAAGATTGTTTAAGAACAGACAAAAGATATGATGAAGAACTCAGACTTCGTGGAGTCACTTCTCTAGTATCTTGCTGTAAAAGTTAAACATGACATTTCTTTTTCAGTAAACTTGCAGTTGACCGAAACTTGAACTTTGACCAACTTACACAACTTGCTCATTTCAAACAGACGATCAAGAAATTGAATCATTACTCTGTAACATATTCCAACTTGATTTCACTTTGAATGAAGATTAAAAATCGTTATTACTGTTTCACAGTTGATTTAAAATGAGTAGTTCACTTCAACATTTAAACATTGTTTGAACTAACACAATTTGATTATCAAACATTTGTAAAATAGTAATGATAATCGAAAGTAGTCTCTTTCACTTGATTAATTCAAGAAAGAAAGTCTCAGGATGGGTCAACCTGTATTTCTGGATTCAAATCAATGAAATGACAGTTTCTGTCCCATAAGGTCCTTAAGGTCAAGATTAGACCTCAGGCCTAGTTCACTACAATGTTGAAACAAAATGGCTACATTACCTGCCTTGCATGTTGAAACAAAATGGCTGCATTACCTGTGTAGTGAACTAAGCCTCTGGTCAAAACCTGACCCTGAAGACCTTCATGGGACAGAAACTGTTATTTCATTGATTTGAATCCAGAAATACAAATTAGCTCATCCAGAGACTTTCTAATTTGTATCCTGAACTAATCAGTTGAAAGAACACTCTCTTTTTATATTGTCATTACTATTTTTACAAATGTCTTGATAATCAAAAGTGTGCTTAGTTCAAACCATTTTAAATGTTGAAGTGAACTACTCATTTTAAATCAACTGTGAAACAGTATTAATGATTTTTTAATCCTCATTCAAAGTAGAAATCATTTTAAATGTCTATGTTACAAAGTAATTATGCATTTTGATCTTCTCTCTGAAATGAGAAAGGAGTGATGTCGGTCAAAAGTCAGAAAGAAGTTATTAGAACGAACTGTCATGTTTTTAAACCTCTCAGACAGAAATAAGAAGCTAATGGCACCTGCGTTCCCCCACTTCGCCAAAACATTTCTCTGTCTGCTCCTAAACATTTCTCTGTCTGTTCCTAAACATCTCACTGTTTTTCTGACTTGTAGTAACCTCTTACGTCACTAAAACCACACCCCTGTTGGTTCTTTCAACCAATCAGGACTTCCCAAATGGGACCGGAAACAGAACTCTTTAAAAGACGACACTTCCTAGTTCCAAGAAGTTCTGGGAGCACACACGAACAGGAGTTCTGGGAGCACAGGAGAACAGAAGTTCCGAACAGCAGAACAAAAGTTCTGAAGTGCTGGAGTTAGTTGGGAGTTCTTCCGAGTCTAGTTGGGATTATGGAATCTTCCACGTCTGAGTGGAACCTCTGACGGACTTACAGCTCATGTGAGTCCACCCGTGAGGTGAGCGTGTTGTTGAACGGAGTACCGTCACTACTTCGGACGATTCTCAGCCATCCTAAGGAGACGCTGAAAGGTAGCGTTGAAATGGAACTCCGTACCGGAGCTGACCAATCTTCTGCAAAGGTAACGAGTCACTTCACTACCGAGTGCACCGAGGCTGAGCTGGGTTCGGATGGAGGGTGCCGTTCTTCGTCAACACATTTTCCCTCATCCATCTTTTTCCTCTATTTAAACTCCTTCATTTCCCATCTTTAAAACTCTTCTATCTTGCCAGTAAAAGATAAGCTAAGCCTGCAGACATTAATTTGAGACCTAAGGATATGTCTGTTGTTTTTAGTTGCAAGTGAGAAATCATGGCCGTATGATTTCTCATTGTAAAGCTCATTAATTAAGCTGTGTTATTGCGTTCAATCAGAATAATCAAGTGTACAATGTTTGATGTTAAATTTTGATTCTGTTAATAAATGACCACATTCATTTTGATGGGTCAAAGAAAATTAACGTCTCACGTCACTGATTAGACCATCTCCGACGCAGTACTTCTAAGCACAATATCACTTAGTCCAGAAAAATGAAAGAATCCGTTTAAATTAAGTATAATACCATGTACTTGAACTAGTCCAGATATTATAAAATTTAAGAGAGCACCCCTGAGCTAAATCCATCTAACGGCTCTCTCACTACACCTGCATTGCTTTGCTTCGAAGGCAATGCACTGCCTTGCATGTTGAACCAAAATGGTGCCATGTGTTACTCAATTTCTGTGAAAAGTTAACTCCCATTCATTTCTTATGGGAAATTTGGCATTTTGTTAGCAAAATATGCCACTCCAAATGCCAATAAATGTAAAAGCACACTTCCCCGAGCCGGGCCGGTCGTTTTGTTATAACTTTTGTGGGGGTCCCTGTTGCGATTTGGGCAGCATTAACGGAGACAGAAGAATAATAAATAAAGAAACCCATATTGGGTGTAGAATAATAGGTGGCTTCCATGCATTTGCATGGGAGGAAGTGCGCTCTCCCATGCATTGCAATGGCAGCCCCCAATAAACAGAACCTAAAGGAAACAAGACACTGTACTGTCAAAATGAATTATAGTAGGTAGGCAATAATGTCCAGACTGTTAAAATACAAAGTACAGAAATGGCACTGTTTGGTGCAGTGAACTGCTTGAATCTTATCACTTAAAGATGTCTATATGACAGCATAATGACAGCAAAAATCGGGGTTTATTGAAGAGGTGCAGAAAATGGAAATCAGCCGAACAGCATTGTCCAAAAAAAGAACTGCCCTTCACAGATTTTCACAAAACTTTTATATTATTCTTATCCCTTGTGCCATGACGGCATTTACTTATCACTCGTACACTCAATCAGAATGGATTACTGGGTCAGGGCCTCAACCCAGACTTCATGGCATCTTTGTTTCTATCTATGTAGGTTCACTGATAACATGCCATGTCTGCATGATAAACAAAATGCCTTTTAGCTTTTACCTGGCAAGCTAACACATATATGCACTCATTGTTGTATTTATTGCTCTTGCTGCTGCCCAGACTGTTACTGCTACAAGTTCAGCCTTTTATAACTAATTTCCACTATCTCACTAATGTGCTCCGCCCACGTGAGCTTACTCCATCTTTTACTCGATTCATGCTCTCTCTCTCTGTCTTTACACATTCTTAGAATAGCCACACCACTCTTGTATCAGTAGACATACTCTTCATTGCACTGTACCAATTCAATTCAATTCAGTTTATTTATATAGTGTGAAGTCACAACAGAAGTAATCTCAGGGCACTGAACAGATACATTCAAATATATACATAACACTATTTATCTGAGGAGCAGACTGTGTTGAATTTAACTCCATTGCAGACCTCTCATCTTCAATAGAAATCAATTCAAAAGAATTCAATAGAACATGTGAGCTGGGTCCAGACTGAATTGCTGTTTCTTTCTTAATCTTTCTTTTCTTTTTCCAGCCGGAGTGACTGGCGTTCTTCCTACAGAGATCTTCAATCAGACTGCTCGACCAGCTGCTTACATGATCGCTGGCTCCATGATGTGGCTCAACCTGTTTGTTGTTGGGATGCTCTTCCCATTTCTGGTGGTCAGTGCACCGCTGAATCCATTGCAGTGATTAATTCAAACAAGCTTGACCAGTTTTAAAACAGTTTAAAATAAGGTGTATGTTAAGAGACAAAAGACAACATTTAACTAAATGGTTTATAATTGTAGACCATGTTGTGAAAATAAATTAATGGATAGATGAAGGTTAATTGTTTGCCTTGTCCTTGCAGAGTGGATTGAGAGAGTACTGTTTTGTGCCGTTTGGAGCTGTCTGCCTGTCATCAGCGCTGTACATCGGCCTGTTTCTGCCTGAAACGAAGGGAAAGTCTCTGGCAGCCATCACAAGGGAATTCCACAAACTGAACTTTAAAGGCCTGGAAAAATATTCAGAATCACAGGCTCAAACTCAGTATCAGCTGGGTGAAGTGTGTCTTTCAACAGCTTTTTGACAACCTTTTTATGCAAAAATAATCTTTTCACTGTCTGTTTCACACCGTTCTATTTCATCCCTACTGACCGCCAGAGGGCGGTGCTGAAAGCACTGAATGATCCCTTTGCACGTGCCGTAATACCAACAGAGTCACAACTGTGTCATATTAATAATAATAATAATAATAATAATAATAATAATACTTTATTTATAAAGCCCTTTAAAACAACCACAGCTGCCACAAAGTGCTGTACATATAAAATCAAGAACATTTAAACACATAAAAACAGTTGTTAAAACATTAAGATCAATAAAAAATAATAAAAAATATATTGGATGATCAATCAGAGGCTATATAGCCTGACGTCATCCAAGACTCTGTTCTTTTCTTCTCCCGTGCGATTCATTTTGCATGACATCAGCCTTTTTGGATCTTGGATCATTTCACCGTCGTCGGACGCCCAATTGTCTGTTAGCTGGAGTAGCGATGTATCGCCCTCCTAGGGGCTGCGACGGTTTAATCTTCATTCAAGGTATTTCTGCTAGTTGTTGGGGATGACAGCGTTTGCTTCTCCTCTCCCAACTCACAGCGACTGACTGCTGTGTTCTGATACACACTGGTTACTATTGGAGCTTAGCTAACGGGTTAGCCTCTCTAAGTTTGTTGTTTTGCTGTAATTGGTGATTGTAGCGTCTCCCCCCCCCCCTCCCAATTTTAGCCAACCTCTTAATCGATTTAGAATTGAGCTAATGGTGTTAGCCTCTTCTTTTTTGTGTAATGCCTTAATTGGTGACAGTGGCATCTCGCCCCCTCTTCCAGTTTTAGCCAACCTCATGATCGGTTTAGGATTGAGCTAACAGTGTTAGCCAAGTTTGTTGTTTTGTTATAATTGGTGATGGCAGTGTTCGCACCCCCTCTCCCAATCATAGCCCGTTTTCGTCCTGTAATCTGGATGTAGCTGATGGTGTCAGCTCCTTTCTAGCTCTGCTATTTTTTACCTTGATTGGTGATAGTAGTGTTCTCTCCCCCTCTCCCAATCTTAGCCTTTTTTCGTCCTGTAATCTGGATGTAGCTGACCGCGTCAGCCTCTTGTTGTTTCGCAATTTTTTTTCTTTAATTTGTGATGTTAGTGTCTCGCCTCCTCTCCCCATTTAAGCCAAACTTTCTGATCAGAGTTTGGGTTGAGCTAATCGTGCTCTCTTCATTTGTTGTTCTGCTTTAGTTGGTGACGGTAGCATTTTCTCCCCCTCCCAATTTTAGCCAACTTTCTGATCAGAGTTCTGGATTGAGCTAACTGCGTTAGCCTCTCTTTCTTTGTATTGTGCCTTAATTGGTGACGGTAGCATCCTACCCCCTCTCCCAATTTTAGCCAACTTTGAAATTAGAGTTTTGGATTGAACTAACGGTGTTAGCCTCCCACCATTTGGTGCTTCACTTTAATTGGTGGCGGCAGCATTTTCGCCCTCTCTCCTAATTTTACTTGTTTGTCATCCTGTATTCTGGATGTAGCTGATGGTGTGTCAGCCCCTTTTTTGATCCGCTATTTTTTACCTTGATTGGTGACGGTAGCATTCGTGCCCCCTCTCCCAATCTTAGTCTGTCCTTGGCTGCCTCTGCCTCTCACTTTAGAAGTGAGGAGGAGGCGCAGTCACCTCGAGCTTCAGAGACTAGCTCATTCTCTTCATCTCAGAGTGCAGTTAGTGGGTCAGGTGACAGCTCTATGTAGGACATCATGCGTATGGCCTTGAGGCAGCTGCAACTGGGTGTTCCGCAATTTGAGGAGTCCATTCCTGAAAGTGCCTTTTTCAGGCACGGACGGGCCCCTTCTCCCTTTTCTGTCCCTCCATCAGAGGAATACCTGAGGGAGTTGCATGCTTGTTGGTGGAACCCTAGAGCTTTTTTGCACCTCTCCACAGATGGTCGGGTGTTTGCAGCTATGCATGAGCTGGTCAAGGCAGGCTTAGATTGTATGGTGATGGTTGAATCTGCTGTTGCCTTGCTCATTGTGTCATCAGATGAAGCTCTGCGCCATGATGTTCAGTGCCCACGGACTCAATGTCGTGTTACAGATGACTTCCTCTGTATAGCTAATGTCGGAGTGTGTGCTGGCCACCTTGACAACCTTGGCACACCTCATGTTTGCCCTCTCTGCGTCCCTTCAGTACACTAGCAGTGGAATGACAACAGTTGGCTTTAGTGTTGCAGCGCTTCAGGCCTTTTTTCTGGAGCTTGGACATGTAATGTCCTTTTAATTCAATTCAATTCAGTTTATTTATATAGCGCCAAATCACAACAAAGTTGTCTCAGGGCACTTTACAGAAACATTCACATACATAAAAGCCAATTAGTAAAGTTCTCTATCTAAGGAATCCAGCAGACAAGTCAAATCTTGGCTTCATTGCAGTCTCCCATCCTGAGCAAGCACAGTGGCAACAGTGGAAAGGAAAAACTCCCTTTTAAAAGGAAGAAACCTCCAACAGAACCAGGCTCAGGACAAGCGGCCATCTGCTTTGACCGGCTGGTTGAGAGGACAGGAAGGAGAGACAGACGAACATAGAATTTCTAGTTCAGGCTCGTTGACAGGTCTGGCTGGTGCAGTCTACACTGACCGAAACATGCCGTAGGATTCTCCATAGTGTTCCTGTGGTGCCAGGGGATTTGTTCGGTTCGGCTGCCTTAGAAGTGCTGGAACAGACCGTTCAGGCATGGCAAACTAGACTGCAGCTTTCAGGCCTCAGCAGGGGAATGTCCCCTCCACCTCCTCAGCATCCAAGGCGCTTGTCATATGTATGTATGTATATGTATGTATGTATATGTATGTATGTATATCACTTTGATTTATAAGTTTCAAATTTATGCAAAGGGGGCATTTTAACTTTTTGTATTAAGAAAAAGAAAGCATGTTACTCATGTTTGCAGCAGCAGGTTTGTGAAGTAATCAAAATTTTCATGTATATTAGCCTGATAATGTAAAAAGGCAACGCATCAGGCTTGGCACCAACCTTTTACACTTATCAGTCAGAATGTAAAAGTAAAAACACATGCTTGGATTTATTTGTGCTTCTTCATTAGAGGAAAACATTACAACCAATAAAAGCTCATTTTGATAAGAAAAGCATTGCATTACTGTAATTCCATCCACCCATCCATTATCTTTACCAGCTTCTTCCTTTTCTGGTTGCTGGGATCACTGGTGCCCATATCCAGCAGTCACTGTGTGTGAGGTGAGGTACACACTGGACAGGTCTCCAGTCCATCACAGAGACAAACGAGACAAACAACCATTCACTCTCTTTCACACCTAGCTAGGGACAATTTAGTTATCAATAAGCCTAACATGCATGTTTTTGGTCTGTGGGAGGAAATCGGAGTACCGGGGGGAAACCCACGCATGCATGGAGAGAACATGCAAACTCCACCCAGAAAGGTCCCCAGCTGAGATTTGAACTGTGGTGATCTGCTCGCTGAGAGGCGATTAATACATTTTATGCATGTGTACATACAGTAGTCCCTCGCTTATCGTGGGGGATCAGTACCCTGAAGCCCTGCAATCAGTGAAAAACCACAAAGTACATAGGAATAGTAGTACAAGTAGTAAGTAGTAGTTTATTTTAGTATTTATACATATTTATATATTAAGGCATTTTAAACCCTTCCCACACGTGCAATATTCTAAACAATGTTTCTAAACTCTAAACACTCTAAAAGAGCACAGAATGTCATGAGTGGCTGCTCTCAGCCACCTGCAAGCGCTCTTGGCCTTGGCACTTCTCTGCTCTACTGCTCGGAGAACAGCTCAAAGGTGCAGCAGGTGCTAAATAATTTAAAAATATATATATATATTTTTTAAACCCATGACGATCGTGTGGCTCATCTATCAATCAGCCAATTGTATGTTATGTCCAATCTTATTTTGAAAAACTGAGCTAGAGCGAGTCCGCCATAAACAAACTGCGAAGTAGCGAGGGACTACTGTATATACATTTATTCGTAATATTGTAAGGTAATTGTATTTATATGCATATTTCATACTGATACTCTGAATTGGCCAATTTCGACCAGGACGCTTAAAAAAAAATTTAATTGTTGAGTTATTCTTGATGGTGACATAAAGATGTAAAATAATAATTTGCCATGAAACTGTGTCTGTATGTGTTTGTCGTGATTGCAAAACATCTCATGAACCACTGGATACATTTTAATATAAACCCAAATACTTGGCCAATATTGGCCACAATTATGCATATACTTCACCAGCAGCTGTGATAACTTGCTTACTGTAGGCCACATTTAAAATTTTAAAGCCAGAATGCTGTCCTATGTCATTTATAAGTGTAGAAGTTTTTCTAAGGGCTGTTAAATGCATGTTCGAAGTTAACCAATTATTATAATTTGATAAATGAATACATTTTGACCAAAATTAAAATAAACTGTATATAAGTCATCGGCTGTCCTGATTTTTAAAGATTAACATGACATAGAGAAATTCTTAATGGTCGACACCTTAATTTTAATAAAACTTACACAAAGTCAGCAGATACATACATACAAATGATTAACCTTTAGTCAAATTTAAGATGGCTGCCACAGCTAAGTGACTTATCAAACACAAACATGGATAGATCTCAACAAATTTTACAGATATTGACCTAAAATCTGGTGTGGTTGTAGTTAAGTGTTATCCCCAACACATACTCCAAAATTACTACTTAAAACCAAATCTTTGATAGATGTGTGTACTCTTCCCAGAAAATAAAGGTAAATGCACAGGACACTGCATATTCACTAATGGACATGTATCACAGAGAGCTGCTCAAGTGTCACACGGCCATAAGGCTACTACAACACACTGATGCTGCCCAGGGCCAGAATCATGTCATGAATAGCCTTGGCTCTGCATCAGTGGTAGTCCACACATCAGGAATAACCAAGTCTCAAAGAGTGGCTGGATCCTTGGGTAGACATTCATGACATTGACGTGCAAGATATCGCTTACAGGTTTAGATCTTTCCCATGGTGGTGCAGACTTCTTCAATGGTTTCAAGGAGAACCTGCTTAAGGATCTGGTTGGGTCAACTTCTGGACTGCATTGTGTCATGGTTGTGTGCAGCTTTGAGATTCAATTCCTGTCCTGTCTGCTGGATGGTTGTGGTTGGCAAACAACCAAAGGTGCTCATATGTGTTGTGACTGTACCCTTACACCAAGGTAATCTCTGATGATGATTGCACTCCCACCAGATCTTCTTGTAGCTCCTTTTCTTAAAATAAAGGTTTTCGTTCAGGCAAAGTTTAGCACTGCCCTTGTTGCTTTTGATTATCTCCATGCCAAGTGACTGAGTGATTCTTAGATTGGCAACCTTATATACTGACAGCATTATCACTCATCAATGGTAACAACTGTGCAACTTACCTCATTCAGTAACATAGACTAATTATATACAGTGCCTTGCAAAAGTATTCACCCCATTGGCTTTTTATCCATCCATTTTTGTTACATGTATCAAAATGATTTGTAATCTCAATTTTATGTGATGCACAAAATAGTCTAAGTTGGTGAAGTGAAATGAGAACAATATATATATGTTTAAAAAAATTGGGAAAAAAAACTACTAAAAATTGTATTGGTATGTGCGCATGTATTCACCCCTTTCGCTATGAAGCTCCTAAAAAGTTCTGGTGCAACCAAATGCCTTGAAAAGTCACATGCTTTGTGAAATTAAGACACACAATGTGCAAAGTGTCACATGATCTGTCAGTATACACATTTTCTGAAAGGCCCCAGAGTTAGTCTGCCACACCATTAAGCAAGAGGTGCCACTAACCAAACAACACCATGAAGACCAAGGTGGGCCCCAAGCAAGTCAGGAACAAAGTTGTTGAGAGGAACAAGTCAGGGTTGGGTTATAAAAAAAAATCATAATCTCTGATGATCCCCTGGAGCACCATCAAATCAGTATCATCAAATAGAAAGAACATGGTACCACAACAAATCTGCCAAGAGAGGGTCACCAACCAGAACTCTCAGACCGGGCAAGGAGAGCATTAATCAAAGAGGCACCACAGAGACCAAAGGTAACCCTGAAGGAGCTGCAGAGTTTCCAAGCAGAGACTGGAGTATCTGTCCATACGGCTACAAGAAGCTGTACACGCCATAGAGCTGGGCTTTATGGAAGAGTGGTCAGAAAAAAGCCTTTACTTACAGACAAAAATGGGAAGGCTTGTTTGCCAAAAGGCATGTGGCAGGTTCCCCAAATATATGGTGGAATGTGCTCTGCTCAGATGAGACCAAAATTTTGCTTTTTGCCCATCAAGGAAAACGCTATATCAGTTGCAAAACCAACACATCACCCCCAAAACACCATCCCCACATTGAAACATGGTGGTGGCATCATGCTGTGGGGACATTTTGCAAAGGCAGAAACTGGGACACTGGTTGAGTCGAGGGGAAGATGGATGATGATAAAACAGGGATATTCTTGAGCAAAACCTGTTTCTGTCTGTCAGTGATGTGAGACTGTGATGGAGCGTCACCTTCCAAAAGGACAATGACCCAAAGCAGACTGTTAAAGCAACACCTGACTGATTTAAGCCCAAACATGTGAATGTATTGGAATGGCCTAGTCAAAGCCCAGGCCCTAATCCAATTGAGAATCTATTGTCAAATATTTAGATTGCTGTTCACCATCAGGAACCATCTAACATGAGGGAGCTGGAGCAGTTTTGCCTTGAAGAATGGGCAAAAAAAGGTGTGGCGAGCTCAAAGAGACTTATCCAAAGTGACTTGCAGCTGTAATTGTCAGAAAAGGTGGCTCTACAACAGGGCTGTTCAACAAAACTGCTCAGGGGGGCACAGTTTCTGAAAGCCAGCAGCTCAGGGGTCAGATATCTAGCAATTAAAGTCATTATGTAAATAAACCAAGTATTACAATGATCTGTTACCTTTAAAAAAAAATGTTATTGCATTGAATCACAAATGCAATAAACAAAACCCAAACCCCAAATTTGTATTTATTTATTTTGATTTTTTAATGAGTGGGCCGAATAGCAGTCACCCGCGGGCCGCCAGTTGAATAGCTCTGTTCTACAAAGTACTGACTTTAGTGGGGGTGAGTAGTTATGCATCCTAAGTTTCTGTTATTTTGTACTATTTGTTGTTTGCTTCACTAAATATAAAATCAAATGTTCAAAGTTGTAGACATGTTCAGTAAATGAAATGATGCAAACCCTCAAATAATCCATTTTATTTCCAGGTGTGCGGTAACAAAACGGAAAAAAATGCTAAGGGCGTGAATACTTTTACAAGGCACTGTAGGTGGGAAAAGAGGTATGGTAGTTATAAGTGAGACAACTGAAAATGTGTGTGCGGGGTGTCACAAATATTAGACCTTTGGTGTTTTAAGATACTAAAAAGTATACACATTTTTTCATTAAGCTTTTCTTGTGAACTTTGGCCTGCACAGAGAGGGTGGAACACTCAAATGATGGCACATTACGTGCTTTTTGTTCGTTAAAGATTATCCTAATAAAAAGGTGCAGACTACTTTTGTCCTTGTGTTGGTAGACATTCATTTATTTATTTATTTATTTTAAAAACAATCAATGTTATGAAATCCTGCAGTGAATAAAAAGCTACCTTTGCACGTCAGACAAGCTGACTCACTTCCTGCTTTTAAATCTTCTCTGAAAACACTTTTTTTCTCATTGGCTTTTAACTCAGCTTGAAATGTTGGTTTACTTTTTTAATTTAAAAAATCTAACTCACTTTTTTCCAGTTTGTTAATAAATAAAATAAGAAAACTCATAGTTTTATAATTGTTTACGGTTCCAGTAAGTTCTGAGCATTTACATAAGATTGGCTGTGTGTTTGAGTTATGTTTATCGCTTTAGAACAAAATGTTCTCAAACTAGAAACAATGTCTCTTATCAGCTGAAACTAATTTTAATCACTGTCACCCTCAAACTGTTTGTTCAGACGCTTCTCATTTTGCAGAAACACTTTGTTAAATAATAATAATAAATAAATTAAGATGCAGCATTGTAATTTATTATGTCATAAATATAACGAGCTGCAAAAGGCAAATATCTCTGATTTTTGCTAATAACTGACTTGTCGGTGAACATATTGGGGGCTTTTTTAAATGAAAACATTTACAGCATGCATCACCAACAATGGTATTAAATTAATTGAAAAAATTGCCTTGTCTCCAGTCAAGAAAAGAAGAAGCAAAACAAATGTTTCCTTTCTTTATGACTAATCAGAACCAAAGTGGGCATAAGAAATGGAAGATGAGGCTCATCAGACACGCATGTCTCATTTTTTTCTGTTCCACTTTAATGTTTAACATTTGCCATACCATACCATACCATACCATACCATACCATACCATTTTATTTATAGAGCACTTAAAACAGCGACAAGGCCAACCAAAGTGCTGTACAGACAAGTACAGACTGTTTACAAACACATATATTCTTTTGTTCATCTTCTGTCATAGTAATGTCCAACTTGGTATCAGAATAAACTTACTGTTGCAGTTCTAATTTCCACAGAAATTAGCCAAACAGACCAGGTTCTGTCAAGAGCAGTGTTTGGCCATCCCTGTTGTTCACATCAAAATGTGACGAAGTTGTTCTAAAATCATGAATAGTCAACCAAAATTTGTCAATTTGTAACTTCCTGTGACATCCTTCAAATATGCTGGACCTCTGCTCGCATCCACCAAACCCACAGGAAACATGGAGATCACAGCCAAGATGGTAGGAGGGTTTTTCTACATTGCATGTCTTTCTGTCGGTTCAGACGATTTGTTTAAATTATTTCAAATATTTGCAGATTACGGCTTAAAAGAATGTGTCAAAAAATTATTTGAATGTTCAAAAACAGATGCAAGAGAGGAAAATATATACATTTGTCAATACTAAAAGATAATTTATCTTTTTTTCCACTTCTAGCTTCACGTTATTGTAATATTAGAAATGCAGAGATTATTCACGCAGTATGCTTATCTTTTCAAGCTGCTTATTTAAAAACGAGTAAATAGAAGATATGCATTTAACACAAAATCTGGTTTTGTGTTTTATTGTAACAGATATTGTTGTTTTAAGATGTTTTCATTCTTTTCCCTCATTTGACACAATCTGAAAGTGACACAAGGTTCTGCAGAGGGGAAGGCTACTATGTATAAATGCAAATGAATGCACTGTTTGTTTAAAATTTATTTTTTTATTTACTTTGTATTTATTTATGTCCAACTTGACTCCAAATCTCACATTTATCTGATAAAAAATAAAACTATTTAATAATTTCATATTATTTATTCATATTTTTTATATGGACCTACTTGTGTCTTTAATAAAAGTGATGATGATGATGATGAATAAACTATTAGGAGCCAACCAAAAAAATCCATGCTCAATAATCCAGGTATACAATCCAACAATTTTCAGTCTGGTCATCTGGACAGTTTCTTTTCTTTTTTTTTTTTTGGGGTGGGGGTTTGAACCAGTTGACTTGACTGTCGACGAGGAGGCAGGCCGGCAGCAGAGGAGGGGGCGTGCCAGGGACACCATCTTAGCACTAACATAACTGGTTTGTTCCACTTTGGAGTAAACTGTTTGGGGGGAAAATCAGTTTCGTTGTGTGTTTCCTTGACTGATGAAGCCTTCCGAATGGAAGGTGAAACGTTTCAGCAAAAAAAAAAGAAACTGTCCAGATGACCTGACTGAAAATTGTTGTATTAGGAGCCAAAACTATTAACTTAAACTAAAAAAAGTTACAGTAAATCAGGTCATTTGGACAAATTCTTCAGATGACCTGACAACTTTTTTGTGATTTATTTACCTGGATGATTGAGCTTACATCAGGATTAATTTAAACTCTACTGCACTTTTGTTGCTTTAATGCAAATTTCATAGCAAATTAAACATGAAGTTTAACAAACACAAAAAGCCAATCAAACTAAATCCACAAACTATATGAGACGTACACTTCTAAAATTTTAAAATCTTTCACAGCACAATAGAACAACTAGTTCAACACATAAAAACTATTAAAAATAATCTTGTTTAAACTTTGATATAGAACATTTTTTTACAACCTATTGTTTAATGATTCAAAACTTTAAAATGTTTTCCCTACAAGAAAGATCATTATTATGATTATAAAATACTTTTGTGTTACTGCTGAAGTTCATAACTCACAAAAAAAAACTACAAAAAGTACTCATTGTGAATACTGACACTCATTTCTGCAAACAATTTACTCTCTTATATAAAACATTTAGTATAGTGTTAGCGTGACTAAACAGATCAATAGCTCCTGCAGAGCTCTGTACAGTCCAACCTGTTGAAGTCAGAAAACCTTTAGAGTCCATTTTTATCTGACAGCTGCAGTACTGGAGGCTTTACCTGCTGATGCTGGTTCTGGGAATTGGGGGATCATTTCAGTATGGGATCCAACTTTCACTGATTGTTTCACCAGCAGAGGTGAGATCTGATGAAATGTACAGTATCACTTTACACGCTGGCTTCATGTACTCATGTTTATTTACTGGATTTATGTTTTATACTTTCAACAAAACAATGGTCTGTTAATAATGTGTTTAAATGTCTTAGTGGAATAAACAATCTTGATTCTGTCATTAGTCCTAACAAATAGCTTAAAAAAGCTTGAAAATGTCCAAAAAGAAAAATCTCAATTCTTAATATTTCTGACAACGTGGGTCAGGCTCCTACAATCCAAACGATTTAGATTTGACATTCATCAGTGCTGCTTCAGATTATCCTTTGACCTCTGAAACCCTTCCTCAGCACATTCAGAGCTTTGTGAACTTCACATGGATACTGAGGTACGGCACACCGGTGGCCGAGTCCACCAACCAGCTGATCTGGTCCTTCATTGTAGCCTTGATGAGTCTGGGGGCCTGGGCAGGAGCCATTCACAGTGGTAGCCTGCCCGTCACCTATGGACGGTGAGACAACAAAACACACCCCCACACACATAAATTTGTATTTTGATACTTATTTGGATGTTGTATGGACATCCAATCATTTTCTGTAGCCTAACCCTAACACTAAACCTGACAATGACCAGTATACACCATATTAACACCAGAAGTAATTGCATTATTGGGTATTGCTTTTATTTTATTTTATTTTACTAGAATGTTTCCATTGCAATACAGTACAACAACTGTTTCATTCAATGAATTCTGGTCTGAATGATAGTAAAACTACAAATAAAATAAATAAATAAATAAATCCACTATTTCAAATGGTAATACAGTATAAAACAAGGAGCCTTGAATCTCCTACAATTAAACCTTTCCTTGGTGTTGCAGAAAAAAGGCTCTTCTGATCAACAACGTTGTGGCGGTTGTTGCTGCCTTGCTAATGATCTTCAGTCGCATGCTGAAGTCTTGTGAGATGATTCTGCTGGGAAGATTTCTTTATGGGTACAACGTTGGTATGTTAGAAGTATTACGAGTCCCTGTGTGTGGTTCTCTTTGGTCATTTCCTTTATTTCTCCTCTGCTCATCTTGTTTGTCTCCACAGGTCTTGGCCTCAGTGTTCAACTCATGTATCTCACTGAGAGCTCGCCAAAGGAGCTCAGAGGTTTCTTGACTCTCACCAGTGCCATCTTCATTGGCTTGGGGAAAGTGGTGAGCCAGATAATTGGCATCAAGTAAGAAATAACGACTCAAACTTTGAAGCACAGATTGCAAACTAAGGAAGCAGGTGCTAGCCACAAACTCTCTTTATTGGTTCCAGTTTAAAGAACACAGGAAGTTGCCTTGCTTATAACAGTAAATCCTCATGAAAATGTCATTTTATGTTTGACTTTTGTATTTGTTGGCTGTTTCCCATCATACAAATTTAACTGAACTGCCTATTCTTTATGCTGCGTACAGAGAGATGATGGGGACAGAAGAAATGTGGCCGTATCTCTTAGCTATTGGTGGTATTCCAGCCATCCTGCAGTTTGTGATGCTTCTGTTCTTCCCTGAGTCACCTCGACATCTTTACATTGACAGAGGAGACACTGAAGGAAGCAAAACAGGTGAGAGAACAGAATTTGGTTCGTGGTTAACAAGTATGATTATACTGAACTGAGCTCTCACCGGCCACATTTTGATAAGTCAGGATCAGTTTGTTTGGATCATATATTCAAATGCATGCATGTACTGTAATTGGGAACTTCTGATGAAAGGTCTATTGCTGTTAATTGATTTGAACAAAGCAACTATTTAATTTCATTTTTTTAAATTGAATCAAATAACACTGAACCCAAATTAAATTACTTTTTTCCCCTTCAGCCATTGATATTTTATCTTTTCCACACTTTAGAATGAGCCCAAACCATGATTAATCCCTTTAACAGCTGACAAGATTGTTCATAAATCACTGTTTTCCTGCACCTGTTTTTCTGTAATATCTTTAATATTCATTCATTCCTTCAATCTTTATTTAGACAGGTTAATCCCATTGAGCCTCGTGGACTCATTTACAAGAGAGACCTGATTTTTTTTTAACAAAGAGTGATGAAACTGTGGACGACAAATACAATAATAGACAATCATAAAGGATGTGTACAAATTGAGTTTTTTTAACAAGTGAAAATAAAATGGTAATTAAAAGAAAATGTAACAAAAAAACAACTAGAATGTAGGGCGGTGTAGAAATCTAAAAACAAGAACACATCTGCATTGGTTTTCCAGGAACTTATCAGATGTTTGAAGCTACTTATATTACAAGATATTCCATGAAACAGGAGCGGAGTAGGAGAAGGCTCTTTTGCCAAGTTCAGTCCTCACTGAGGGAACACTGCAGGTAATAATGTCCTGAGAGTGCACGCTGTAGCTGCACTCATGCAGAGACATGTAGGAGGAGATGTATGAAGGCAACAGACCAAGAAGTGATTTAAAGATGAAAATGTACCAGTGAGAGAGTCTGCGTGAAGTTAATGATGTCCAGTTAACCAGTGAATACAGGGTGCTTGTAGGAGTGTTCATGTAAATAATGTCACCGTAATCAATGGAGGGAAGGAAAGTCACAGTTACTGTCATAGCTCTGCTCTCTGTCAGCTCCTCTGTCATGCTGCACACTCAGTAATCACTCAACTCATGTCACCTGTCACCGCTCATTATCCCACAGCTCCACCACCTGGTCCAGTCAGTACTTAAGCTCACTCATTCCTCTCAGTCTGGGCCAGATTCTCTATCCTGTCTCATCAGCAGTAGACTTTCCAGCATTCCATTGATTGACTCATCACGTTCATGACCCTTGCCTTGACCACGACCACGCTTTTGCCTCAGCCCTCGTCTGCTTTTGCTCATCTGATCAGGTACCGACTCATGCTCTTGTTTTTTGACTCTCTTTTTGGATCACGTACTGGATACTTCTGCTGAACAACTGACTTCACGGTATGAATTCTGCCTTTCCCTTCTGACTGTTTTTTGGATCACGGATTAAAGGTCAAGCTCATTCTGTATCACGGACTTATCCTTACCCCTGAATCTGATTCCCACAGATTCATTTCCCCAATTAGTCTCTTTCCCCCTGCATCTACTAACCTTTATCTTTTAGTTGCAAGCCTGTTGGACTCCGTTCCAGTGGACCTTAACATCAGTTCTACTTCTACTGGCAGCCCGCCACTACAACACTACCCTATCACGAACTACCAATCAGAAGATCGCAACCAGCCCAGAACCGGACCTACTCCAGAGTTTTACTTTACTTCACAATAAATCTTTTAACCCTCTCAGTGGTTGTTGTTGTTGTTTGCGATCCGGCCTCTGGTTCATGACAGTTACAAGGTGTTTCCTAGCATTCAGAGTTAAACAGGATCTGTTTCTGAAAAATAAACCCAGTTTAACTTTTAGTTTCCTTACTAGGTTTTCCATGTGAAGCTTAAAAGAGAGATGCGAATTGACCAAGATACCCAAATATTTGTAGGAATTGACAAACTCAGTAGGGGCACCATTCAAGGATAAAATCAAAGGAAGAACTGCTGGGACTGACTTCCTGTTTGAAAAAAAGCCTCCCTAATATATCTTTAATATATGGTTCAGCTGGGAGCACATGTTGTGTTTATCATATTGTTTTAGGAGTTATTAGTATTTTAACACCTTACTATTCCAGTTTTGCATTCAGGAAGTCTTCTGTCATTTACAACGAAAATACTGGAAAAAAATGAAGTATAGCTTCTAAAGGTTTTATTAAAACTATTAAAAAGATTATATTGAATTAAATGTACACATTACTGATGAAATCACTGTAGATAATCCTGACAAAATCTGTTCTTAAAGTGTTTCAGGATATTGTAAAAATGATGGACTGTGGTTGTGAGTATTCCTTTGTCTCTTGCTGCAGTTTGCAGAAAGCATCCTAAACAGTCATGATTTGTTTGTTTTAGTCGTTTTAAAGGAACCTTGATCTATTGTCAAACCAGGTCTTGAAGACAAAATTTTTTTCTCAAAAAGATCATCTGTGTTCATATAATAGACGTCAACCCTTTGTACGATCTTCGTTGTTTTGTATTTAATGTTTGGATGCATGTGGCAGCCTTGCTGTGGCTGTGGCAGGATGACAACTTAAAGCTGGAGCTGGACGACATGCAGAGAGAACTGGAGAGCACACATGGAGAGAAGGCCAGGACGGTGAAGGATTTGCTCACCTCTCGCTGCGTGAGGTGGCAGCTGCTGACTCTCACCATCCCATGTGCCGGTTCTCAGTTCTGTGGCATCAATGCTGTATGTTCCTTTCACTCTTGTCATTCTTTAGACAATAACTAAATAAAGACTTGCTTTATTTCTATTTTTACCTGTTTGACGATCTCTCATCTGTCAATATTTTAGCTGTGCTTCTATGCCTTTGACATCTTTCGTGAGTCTGGAGTGCCAGACAGCCAGCTGCAATACTGGGCAATTGGTATTGGAGCAACAGAGCTAATCACCACAACACTGTGTGTAAGTTTATTGTAAAAAGCATGAACAAGATTAACGCTAACTACATGGTTACATTTTACATTTCAAAATGTTAGACTTTTTCAAATTCTGATGTCTTAGATGTTTTAGTAATAAGTTCCCATTAATATAAACCAAAATATTAACAACTAAAATGTTAAACTCAGACTTTAATGTTTAGGTGAGTCAAATGGTGCCATCATTTTAACTTTGTCTTTTTATAACTATTGTAACCAATTTAAAAAAACAAACACTTTGGCTTATGTGAGCAACTTAATGTTACAATTTAGGACTTTTATTTAAAAAAAATATTTTGAGATGTAAAAATAAAGTTTTCTTTATAAAGCACTCTATTTTCTTTTTAATTCATTAATTCAGATTTGTTAATATGTAAAAGGAAATTCTGCTCATTTCCATCGAAAAACACGAGACGTAGATTTTTTTCTTGTCTTTTTTTTGGCACATATTGCATTCCAAATAAATTCTAGAAAGATTAATTAATTCATTCATTCATCCAACCTTTATTTAAACAGATAAGTCACATTGAGCCTCGAAGACTCATTTACAAGTGAGACCTGTTTGGACAGACAATGAAAAGTGGTGAAAAATGACATAGGGTTTGGAGACAAAAAAAATTCCTAACACGCTTTTAATCTTTGGTTGAAGATCAACAGTGTGATAATGAAAAAAAATCTCACACACTAGCACATAATGATGCTGGGGGGAGGAGGATGCAACACACAGAGGCACTGCAGAGTTCGGATAAAATCACTCAGTTCATATAGTTCCCTCTGGAGAGATCCGTACACACTTGGGGAGTGCCGAGGACAACCAAGGACGAATCCAAAGATTCCTGAAATGATGACAGAATGTTTATTCAGTTGGGCTCCTCTGAAAAGTCCATGGAAATTCCTCAGCAGGAGGGGAGGGAGGGGCAGAGCTTCAGTTTTACAAAACTTCCAGGCGGGTTGAGATAAGATGACCTGTCAAGGCCAGTCAGGGAGCCGAACTCAAATAAACACAATTGTTTTGGGGACAGGCAGAACTTTAATGACATCTACCTTGAGTCTGTGGGGGTCCACTCGGTTCCGAAACGTCCACATTACATGGCCACACCAATGGACCATGCCTGAGAATAATCCCCGAGATCTGATCCATCCTGCCAAAAGCATGCAGCCTGAACTGGTCCAAATTTGCTGCCAACGACTTCCTTGATTGTAGATAAGCCAGGAACCAGCTGAATCCAAAAAGCAGGAACCAATTATCATAAATCTGATTATATATGTGTCCTTAAAATCCACAAATGACAGCAGAAATAGACAAATCACCAAGTCTTCCAAGTCGATGAGATATCCAGCTGCTTGCATGTCAACAGGGCAAATAGGCTCATCTAAAGTCTGTCTTCTCTTCAAAGAAATGTTATCAATTGCGTTGAAGACCCAACTGACCAAATCCAAGTCCATAAATTATGATTCAGAAGATTTGTAGAAGAGAGGCTCTAAAGCAGTTTCACAGACAGGACAGAACAAAAGCAAAGCAGAGAGGGAGAGGAGGAGAATACATCCACCCCTGACAAGAGCAAATGTTGACATGGAAACATTTTTAATATTATGCACAGAAAGTATGACTTTTTAAAACATATGTTTAATATTAGATTCCTTTACAGATTCCTGTTGAGAAAATAACTAAACATCATTCTCTCTGTTGTGCCCCAGTCCTTCCTGATAGATCGAGCAGGCAGAAAGAAGCTGATGGGCTATGGCTATCTACTGATGGGTGTAACCATGTGTGTTCTTACTGTCACACTGTCCATGAAGGTAAAACCAGTGACACACTGTGCTTCTTCACCTCACTGCCTCATAGAAAATATGTTTTAAAATTTCTTTCCACAGGATAGGAATCCACAAATTCCATATGTGAACATTGCCCTGATCTTTTTTGTCATCTGCATTTTTGGACTTGGGCCTTGTAAGTCGTTGCTGTTCATATCCTACTGTAGATATTTAAGTCCACTTATTTGTAGATTGATTAAATGTTTAAAACTTTAATGTTTACTTGTAGCTGGAGTATCTTTTGCTCTCCCTGCTGACATTTTACTTCAAGCCTGGCGTCCTTCTGCATATGTTCTCATTGGGACCATCAACTGGCTGAGCGTGTTTGTGATTGGGATGCTGTTTGGATATATTGTGGTGAGACGTCAACTGTGCATTTATCTTCGACCAAAATTTCAGTACTTGTTTATGAAACTCAATGTTTTTTTCTTTTTTTCTTGTACAAACACAGAAGGGACTCGGACAGTTCTGCTTCCTGTTTTTTGTGGCTTACACCTTTTTCAGTGGTGCCTTTGTGATATTTTTTGTCCCAGAGACCAAAGGAAAGACTCCGACAGAGATCACAGAGGAGTTTAATAAACTGAACTACAAGAGTATAGAAAGTGACAGTGAAAACATTGAAATTGCAACAAAATTGTAACATAACTTATATATCACTCACTTGTAATGAAAATGGTGACTTGTCTTTGTCAATGTAAAAAGTGCACGGTATAATTAAAAAAATTAATTACTTAAAAGCAAAACAGAGGGAACAAACTGATTTTTGTACCCATTCTATTTTGTTTCATGAACCATCAGTTTGTTGCCAGAGGGCAGTACAAGGAGTGGTTACCAAAGATGGGTTGGATTGTTGTCTACCTGATTTTTTTTCCATTACCTGGTCGTATAAATCTAAGAGTTGCATTTGCTGATGTCTGGTTATTTTACTGGCCTGTTTGACTACTTGGGTCATTTTGTCAACTAAGACGTTCCCAAGCCAGGAGACCAAGTCAAAGCAAATATCGTGTTCAACACGTGACCTGTACACCCATTGCAGGGTGTGCTTAATGACTCTGAAACTCAGCTTCTTTAGGAGATTGAGATGCTGTCTAGTCTTTTTGTGAACAGTCAGCATTAGGTCAGCTTGCCATCCTTCCTAAATATTTAAAGTCAGGGACACTGCTTCACTTTCTGCCCTTATGATAACTGCACACCTAAAAGCAGGCCAGGTGACAACTGCTCTCAACCTTTCTCCCAGGCATACCTCCCTGGTTTTACTGACTCTGAGGTCCAGGAAGCTGTTATAAAACCAGGTGAAACAGACCACACTACCTGAGAAAAGGCCACATTGTCAAAGAATATAGAGATGGTGGTCTGAAAGTAATTGACTTTGAGTGCCTTAATGGAACCCTTAAGATTAATTGGTTGAAATCTTGGATCAAAAATTCTGAATCACTTTGGTATTGTGTCCCCAATTATATATGTAACAAAATAGATAGTCTAAAACTAATACTTCTACCTGATTTCAATATACATAAATTGCCCATCAAACTATCAGAGTTCCATAAACAAGTGTTATTATACTGGAAAATGCTCTGTGTACATAATTACTCACCGCACTCCACTATCATATGGAATAACAGATTCGTACTATATCACAACAAGTCATTATTTTACAAAGATTGGATGAGTGGAACATTTGGTCTGTTGTACACTTAATGGACGCTAATGGTTACATGTTAACTATGAACAATTCTGTGCAAAGTATAAATTCTATCCCCCCAAAGTTGAATTTACCAGATTACTTAAAGCATTACCAAAACAATTTATTACTCAGATCCAAAATATAATAGCATATCATCCTATAACTTCACAATTACTCACTCTATCTATTAATGGAATATCATTTACTAACAACAAATTCAATAACTACATGATTAGAAGCTGTCTGAATGAAACCTTATTCCCTGGGAAAATAAATAAAAATAACATACTTTACAAATTTGACAAAAAAAAATCAATAGAAATGTTAAGAACTCTATATTTAAAACTCCCCATACAATCAAAGGCTAAAGAAACACACTTTAAAATTTTAAATACAATTTACCCCTCCAAAGAGCTACTAAGAAATTGTTTTCATACTGATGACAATAAATGCTCATTTTGTGAAAAGGATATAGAAACAATAGACCATATCTTCTATGAATGCAACAAAACCAAATTATTTTGGAATCACTTGGAAAGGTGGCTCACACTGAAAATTACACTTCCTTAATCTGTTTCCAGTGATATGGTAACATTTGGAGTATTATTGAAAAAAAAAAAATGGAACTCGGTTTTAATATGATATTTTGTCTGGCAAAATTCTTTATTCATATATATATATATATATATATATATATATATATATATATATATATATATACATAATATAAATATATAAACAGAGAGTGCCAAGATAATCCCGTTTTTATTTTTATTTTTAAATCTGAATTCCAATTATATTTGAAATCTCTGAAATATATTGAAACACATAAAGACCTGTATGAAATGTTAATGGAATTGCCCACTAATGCATGTTAATCCTAATCCTAAATACCGCCTTGTTGTAGTTTATTTTATTTCTTCTTTTTTTTCTTTCTTTTCTTCTATTTTTCCTAATGAAGTCTGCCTCATATGCCCTTTTTAAAGTTACACTATTGTGAATTGCCATATTTGTTTGTACTTGTTTTTGCTAAATAAAGTTTTCTTAAAAAATTAATAAATAAAAAATAAATAAAACCAGGTGAAAAGTTGCACCAAGAGCAGGAGGGCTATCAGTATTGTTCAGGCTAGCTGCTGAGTGGTCCAAAGTTACACTACATAGCCAAAAGTATTTGCTCACCCATCCAGATTATCAGAATCAGGTGTTCCAATCACTTCCATGGCCACAGGTGTATAAAATGAAGCATGTAGGCATGCAGACTGCTTTTACAAACATTTGTGAAAGAATGGGTCGCTCTCGGGAATTCAGTGAATTCCAGCGTGGAACTGATAGGATGCCACCTAAGCAAGAAATCCAGTCGTGAAATTTCCTCACTCTTAAATACTCCACAGTCAACTGTCAGCTGTATTATAAGAAAATGTAAGTGTTTCGGAATGGCAGCAACTCATCCATGAAGTGGTAGGCCATGTAAACTGATGGAGCGGGGTCAGCGGATGATGAAGCACATAGTGCAAAGAGGTCGCCAACTTTCTGCAGAGACCATCACTACAGACCTCCAAACTTCATGTGGCCTTCAGATTAGCTCAAGAACAGTGCACAGAGAGTTTCCATGGTCGAGCAGCTGCATCCAAGCCATACATCACCAAGTGCAATGCAAAGCACAGGACGCAGTGGTGTAAAGCACGCCACCACTGGACTCTAGAGCAGTGGAGGCGCATTCTCTGGAGTGACAAATCGTGCTTCTCCATCTGGCAATCTGATGGATGAGTCTGGGTTTGGCGGTTGCCAGGAGAACGGTACTTGTCTGACTGCATTGTGCCAAATGTAAAGTTTGGTGGAGGGGGATTAAGGATTGGGGTTGTTTTTCAGGAGCTGTGCTTGGCCCCCTAGTTCATTTCAAAGGTGTTCTATTGGGTTGAGGTCAGGACTCTGTGTAGGCCAGTCAAGTTCATCCACACCAGACTCTGCCATCCATGTTTTTATGGACCTTGCTTTGTGCACTGGTGCACAGTCATGTTGGAAGAGGAAGGGGCCAGCTCCAAACAGTTTCCACAAAGTTGGGAGCATGGAATTGTCCAAAATGTCTTGGTATGCTGAAGCAGTCAGAGTTCCTTTCACTGGAATTAGAGCGGAGACTGAGAGCCAGGCCTTCTTGTCCAGTATGTGACCACACAAATGCGCTTCTGGAAGAATGGTCAAAAATCCCCATAAACACACCCCTAAACCTTGTGGACAGCCTTCCCAGAAGAGTTGAAGCTGTTCTAGCTGCAAAGGGTGGACCGACGTCTTCTTGAACCCTATGGATTAGGAATGGGATGTCACTTAAGCTCATATGTGAGTGAAGGCAGATGAGCGAATACTTTTGGCAAGGTAGTGTATGTTCTCTGATTTAAGTAAATTTTGCATTTCCTTTGGAAATCAAAGTCCCAGTCTGGAGGAAGAGAGGAGAGGCACAGAATCCACATCACTTGAGGTCAAGTGTCAAGTTTCCAGTCAATGATGGTTTGGGGTGCCATGTCATATGCTGATGTTGGTCCACTGTTTTCTGAGGTCCAAAGTCAACACAGCCATCTACAGTACCAGGAAGTTTTAAAGCACTTTATGCTTCCTGCTGTTGACCAACTTTATGGAGATGCAGATTTTGTTTTCCAAAAGGACTTGGCACCTGCACACAGTGCCAAAGCTACCAGTACCTGGTTTAAGGACCATGGTATCCTTGTTCTTAATTGGTCAGCAAACTTGCCTGAACTTAACTCCATAGAAAATCCATGTGGTATTGTGAAGACGAAGATGCGATATGTCAGTCCCAACAATTCAGAAGAGCTGAAGACCACTATGAGAGCAACCTGGGCTCTTATAACACCTGAGCAGTGCCACAGACTGATCGACTCCATGCCACGCTGCATTGCTGCAGTAATCCAGGCAAAAAGAGCCCCAACTAAGTATTGAGTGCAGTACATGCTCATACTTTTCATGTTCATACTTTTCAGTTGGCCACCATTTCTTATTGGTCTTAAGTAATATTAAAATTTTCTGAGATACTGAATTTGGAGTTTTCATTAGTTGTCAGTTATAATCATCAACATTAAAAGAAATAAACATTTGAAATATATCAGTCTGTGCGTAATGAATGAATATAATATACAAGTTTCACTTTTTGAATAGAATTACTGAAATAAATCAACATTTTCATGATATTCTATTTTATGACCAGCACCTGTCCATTTGGCAGCCGATTTGAAACAGCTTGGTGTAGCCATGGAGGTGGCAAAGACGTAAAAAAAATCTCTAATCAAACTGTTGCTCACGCTAACCTGCTATCCGAGAACCAGTGGAGTGTTTGGATTGGACTAATCAAACTAATTTGGTAGCTTGTGCTTCCACCTGTTCAGGATGGGTCGACTACACATCCATTCATCACCAAGAACTACAAGACAAACTTTGGCGATTTTTCAGCTGCGATTTATTTGATTCTCATCTCTAAACCAAGAAGAGAAATGAGACTCAACAAGAGTACAAAAACAAATATTTATAGAAAAGTAAGCTTGTAATGAAACGTGTCCAAAGACATCGTAACAAAAACGCGTAGTTCAAGTGTTTAAAGAGCATTCTTGTTGAATACAGTGATAAAATACCAAGTTAGCATTTTGTACATTTTGGGCTTTTTATACAAAAGTGTCAATGCAAGTCCCTCTGTACAGTTCTTACCCTTTAGAAAAAAATGACTTTTTAATCCACTGCTGTGCACAATCAGTACTAGGAAGGCACTTTGCAACAGACCAAAAAGAGAAAGCTAAACAATTAGGCCCAAATAATAATAAAAACAAAAGGTTTTTATCATTTTCTTACAGAGAATTCCACGCGTCCTCAAATTGTAATTTGAACAAAACTCTTGTAGCCTTTAAATGAGCAAATCCAAGTGCAGAGAGGATTGAAAAGAAAACTTGGTCAAAGAGTCGAGCAGCTGGCAGTGTGAGCGACACCACAGCAGTGATAGTTCGGTGAGCAGTGAAACGTTTCCTGCCACCAACGAGGGATCGACATTCAGTCCCGAGCTCAGCCTGCATGCCAGAACATGCACTTTACACTTCAGATGGCCGTAACTTAGCATCCCCCAACAAAAGACTAGACAAACAAAAACAACTCATTATGTACAAGACTCGCCACTGACAAACACTTAGCAAATAGGTTGGTTCATATTTATTTTTATATTTAGATAAAGTGTGTGTATATATAGAAAGTATATACACTTGTTACAATCACAATATAGCCATAAATAATATAGGAATGTAGTAAATTACAAAAACCAATACACTCAAAGCCATTGTCATCACACACACACACACATCTCTTCACTGTGACACTGAGCCTGACTTGCATCATGATACGATTTACAGAAAAAAAAAAAAAAAAATCAACCTAAGAGTAACGTCTATGTGTAAAGTTGGTTCATGAGACACTAAATAATTAGGGGAATTTTTGCGTTTGCAAACCTTAGCGGTACTTTACGTTCCCTTTTAAATATTTACATGCAATTGTGTGTTTTTATTGATTATCAGTCAGGGAAAAAGAAAAAATAGAATAAATAAAAAATTAAAGCCTTTTCAAACACCCTTAAATGATAGAGAATTAGGGAACCGTTTGCTTTAAATGTAATTATATATACCTAAAATTCTATTTCTTGCATAATTTCATCAACTAGTTCAACATCTTATTGAACTATTTAAGACCAAGTTTTTTTTTTTCTTTTTTTTAAGTAGAACAAAATGTCAGGTTAACTTGAAGAAGAGAATGAATCACAGAGAAAATGTAGATGTGATGTTACTGTGTAATGAGTGAAATCAATTATGTTCACAGGAATGTCTAGGAATAAACAGATCACCTAAATGCGTAACGTCCACCATAACAAAGTGACTACTACATAAAAAAAAAGAAAAAGTGAAAAGCAAAAGTTTGCAAAAAATGTATCTTTTAGTTGACTAAAAGCTGTTCTTTTAAGCCACGAATCCCTCTGGATGTCTCATCTGTTGCACAACACACAAAATCACATTTAAGAAAATTTTGACAAAAAAAAAAAAAAAAGTCTACTAAAGCAAGCAAATCACAAGATTTTTGTTTGACAAAAAAATAAAAATAAACCAACACTACACAAAGCTTAGGGCATGAATAAGTTATTAAAATTAATAAAATATTTTTTTCTAAACATATATAAAGAAATTATACCTGATATTGGTCCCCATATTATTCACACGACTGATTTAAACATTAACAAAAAAATTAAAAATTACAGAAAATAAATTCATTTTTCAGTTTTTCACGTCCTCGGCTTCACCTCCGCAGGTAAACGAGCCAAAAACATGAGGATAAATGTAACTTGAGACAAAGATGCGTTACCAGTTCACTGTTACGATTGAGACTACAGTAAAAGAAGAAAGAAAAAAAGAGCCCATTTTTAAATCATTTGACCACATGTCCCAAGTGCTGGGCTTTCAAAAGGAAACTTAACACATCCTCCATAAAACCATGTCCCCTCTCTACTGGATGCATTAAAGTAAGTAATACCTCTTTAAAACTGCTTCCTTTGCTCAAGATATACGGTTTGGAGGTCAAAAGAACCAAGTAAAGAGAAGAACTGGCACAAAATTGACAAATTAGAAGAGCCTTTTCTGCAGGAATATGACCAGTAATTTCAAGTCCAACAAGCTCTATGCACATGTCTGGGAAAAAGAAAACTTACGGTAAGTGCCAGTGATAAATGACTGGACTTTCCTTGCATAATTTTTTTTATCTTATGAACAATTTATTTTTCAAATGATCAAAAAGACCATCGGAGGAATAATAATAATAAAAAAAGGCCAAATCTGCAAACGTGTGTCATGTGACATGGGCCTGTTTTGGATACTGACTTAACCATTTAAAGTAGTCCTGTACAAAACTGTCACTTTCAATCCTTTCCCAAAAGAAAAATAAAATATAAATTTAACTGCCCTGTGTGGCCTTGAGGTAAAGAATAAAATAACCATAATGATAAAAATAGGTTTACTAACTTCACCAGAGCACGTTAAGTAGGCAAACTGACAAAGTGTCTTCTATATAAAGTTAATGGGTTATTTCATGAAAAGAAATCTTTGCGCAGCAGTGAAAGCTCAAACTTGTCAGGAAAAACGCGAGACAAATTCAACACAGACGTCAGTTTAACCAAATGAAACTAGATTTCTTTATAATGAACCAAACACTGAACTTTGTTTACTCTGAAAATGTAAGAAAAATAGGAATTAAATGGCAGTTTTCTTCTTCCTTTTTGACAAAAGTCATCTGATGCACATTTGGCAACAAGACAAACAGGAGATTAAATGAGTCCAAAGTTGAGGCAAACATCTTCCCGAACACAGAGCATCTTCTGTGGGTAACCTGGCTTTGTCCTAAGAGTTAGAGGCTAAACTTAACTGAGGCCTGAAAAAACAAAATGTCACTTCCCTCCGAAGTCGAGTCCACTTTGACCTGCCTCAGGGTCCACAAGTGAAGAGGCGAAAGCAGACTGGACTATCTGAAAGCCAAATGACTCGAGGAGAGACATGTTCTGTTGTGGGGAAAAGGGAGAAGTCAAGGAGGGCACCATCTCATTTAAACTGGACCCCGACGTTCCATGGGCCCTCTGGACTTTGTGAACTCTGTGCTGGTGTTTGTTGAGGTAGGACTTGGTGCGAAAGGCCTGACCACAGATCCCACAGATAAACTTCTTCTCTGGGTCTGTTTTGGCTTTAGAGCTCTCTGGAGACCCAAGGACCCCAGCAGAAGCTCCATTGCAGTCCAAAGAGGGCATCTCGAGCTCCGGTGCGTCAGTTTTGCGCGGAGACTTAAGCTCATCAACGTTGGACAATTCCCTTAAAGAAGTATCTGATTCCTCGGACTCCAGATGAGGACAAGTCCCAGCATTTTCTTGCCCATCTGAGACAAAAGAAAGAAGAAGATGGATTAGAAACAGTGAAACGATACACAAATAATAATAAAAAACAAATAAAAAGAAAAATTTGTTTTGACAAATACAACAGTATTTATACAGTATAAACGGCTCAATAGTGTTTGCAAAAATATCAAGTATAACTGCAGGAGTTATGTCAGACAACACCAAGCGCATGTCATGTTAATAAATTTAAGTCAGAAACCACACGCAGTCGCCTTGATTTTATTACTACTATCATGGATGCTCCTGTGAACAAAGGACAGAGGATGAGTGTACAGTAGTCCCTCGCTACTTCGCGGTTAGACTTTAACGGACTTGCTCTTTCGCGGTTTTTCAAAGTAAGATTGGACATGACACACAATTGGCTGATTGATGGATGACCCACACGATTGACATGGACTGTTTATTTTAAATAAATTATTTTGAATTATTTAGCACCTGTGTGCAGTCCACAGGTGCAGGGAGAACCTCCCTCCTGCAGCGTGTCATGCTCCCCTCAGAATACTGCAAGAGTGTGGGAAGGGTTTGCAATGCCTGAACATACAAACTACTACCAGTACTTACAACTATTACTTGTACTACTATTCCTACTTCGCAGTTTTTCCATTTATCGCGGTGGGGCTGGGAACGGAACCCCCGCAATAAACGAGGGACTACTGTATGGATGACTCCAAGTTGAGAAAGTACCGTACAATAAATCAAGCTGTCAGTGATTTAATTTACTTTTGTAAAATGATTTATATTAAAAAGAAAATTTAAACCCTGATCCAGTCCCGGGATCTTTCTGGGTGGAGTTTGCGTGTTCTCTCCGTGCATGTGTGGGTTTTCTCCGGGTGCTCTGGTTTCCTCCCACAGATCAAAAACATGCATGTTAGGTTGATTGATAACTCTAAATTGTCCCTAGGTGTGAGTGCGGCTGAGTGATTTCGATATTTTAAAAATATCAAGATAACTTCATTTGCGATATGAGACTATATCGATATAGTGTTATACTTGAAAATCTGCCTGCTGTCTTCTTTCTTTCACCATGCGGCCACTCCTCTCCCTCTCAGCCCAGTCTCTCACCCACTCCCCCCGCTTCCTGCTCCAGGTGGAGCGGCAACGCTGGCACATATATTGCAGAGCAGAGCAGGAAAAAATAATGGCTCTGTTATTTGGAGATGGTTCAGATTTAATTTGTCAGATGAGCAGCAGAAAAAAACGTTTTCTGTAGACAATGCCTAAAACAAGTCCTGACGAAAGGTTCGAGCACAACGAACCCAATTCACCATTTAAAACAGCGCCATAAAGTGGCATATGAAGAGTGTTAAACTTTGTGCTGCAGCTCCGGCTGTGAAGTTTTCCCAGCTTCCTTCCCTGAAATAAACTAAGGTATGAAACTCTTACCTGTGCTGTGCATTGTGAGAGGAACAGAGGTAGTGCCACACTAATAAAGCTGCAGCTTATCAAATCGCTAAAGACACAGTTCTTAGCGGCTAAAAAGAGGGCTAAGTTAGCAGTCTTGTTAGCTGCTATTGTTAGCCGCTAAGGACTGTGTCTTTAGCGATTTGATAAGCTGCTGCTTTATTAATGTGGCGCTACCTTTCACTGTAAGACTTGAAATCTGTGTACAGTAGTTCTTTTTCTGCTTGTCTGCCCAGCCAACTTCACGCCTCCTTCTCCCTCGTTGAAAACAGACAAACAGCCCCTCACTGCTGCTTCACACACGCTTACTAACGTAGAGAAAGCGGCGCAGCTGGGGAGGATTATCATTTAATATATGTAAATGGTTTATTTTTTTAGACATTGATTTTGTAAAGGAAGAGGCGGGTAAAGATAATGGATGGATTTTGTACAGTTACAGATGTTTAATAAATGTGCCTGTGTGACAATTGGGACAAAGCTTTCACTCGTATATTTTTTGTTATTACTTTATGGAAAGAAAAAATATCAAGATATATATCGTATATCGTGATTTATCTTAAAAAATATCGAGATATTAATTTTGGTCCATATCGCCCAGCCCTAGGTGTGAGAGAGAGAGAGAGAGTGAGAGTGAATGGTTGTCTCTATGTGGCCCTGTGATGGACTTGCGACCTGTCCAGGGTGTACCCCACTCCTCGCACAGTGACTGCTGGACATGGGCACCAGTGACCCCAGCGACGCAAAAAGGAAGAAGCGAATAAAGATAATGGATGGATAGATTAAACCCTGAGCTACATGCCTAAAATGTAACCACTGGTATAATATAAACAGTGAATATCATTGTGAAAAAAACACCAGATGTTAATTATCTATTGGTTAAAAAACTGATCAATCTCTTTTGGATATACGGTAGTCCCTCAGTTATCGTGGGGATTTCCGTTCTCAGCCCCCCCTTGATCAGTGAAAAACCGCAAAGTAGGACTAGTAGTACACGTAGAAAGTAGTTTATTGTAGTATATATATATATATATATATATATATATATATATATATATATATAATTAGGGCTTTAACAGACTACTCGAGTAATCTACACATCGATTCCTAGGACACCTATCGAGGTTTTTAATTTCACATCAAATATTCGTGGTGACGTCATTACGCCGCCGTTACGTCATTGTGTCACGTGATCCGCACTGGGCGCGGGTTACAAAATGGATTCCTCCAAGCAGACAGATGGAGCAGAGCAGGCTCAGTCTTGACAAACAGGTAGAAATGCATCAATAGTCTGGAAATATTTCACTAAAGGTGAATCTTCTGGTTCAACTACCATAAGGAAAATGAAAATGAAACAACTTCCTGACTGTTTGGAGCTCGTTGCTAACCAGTGTTACACCATATTTTGTGACCACCATATATTGTGACCGTAGGGGCGGTGTTGCATGCACTGTTGCAGGTCACAGCATATGGTGTAACACCTGGTCAAATCGACCGAACCAGAACCAGCTTCCTCTGACCTTGTTTCACAAACAAAAAGCAAAAAATATTAATCTCTAAACCTATAAAAAAAAATATATATATAAACATATTAATCTCTGAAACTAAACTTAATGCACACCACAGGAGGTGGTCAACCCCCTCACTGTTTTTAGTTTCGTTTTTGACGTGCTGCACGTTTTTCACGTTTGCAGCTTAATAGTAATACCTAATAGTTTAGTTTTTCCTGTGACTTATTTGCTGTATGATAAATGGTGGGAGCATAATATATGCTCCCAGTGTTTTATTGGTCTTTTTTTGTAAATAATGACCTTTTTTGCGGTTTTATTTATTTATTTATTTTTCTATCTTTAGAGCCTATGATGTTATCAAGTACTCGAGTTCTACTCGAGTCTTATTATGTTAATGTCGAGTTTAAAAATTATGTAGTCGTTCAACCCCTGATTTTATTTATATATAGATTAGATAGATTAGATAGAGATAGATAGAGAGAGATAAAGAGAGATAGACAGATAGATAGATAGATAGATAGATAGATAGATAGATAGATCATTTTAAATCCTTCCCACTCTTGTAATATTCTAAACAATGTTTCTAAACTCTAAACGCTGTAAAAGAGCACAGCATGTCATGATCTCTGCTCATGCCACGTGCCAGCACTCTCAGCTACACCCACTTCTCTGCTGCAGAGCGGAAATTCTGACATGCTGAAGGAGGAAGCTTCTCTTGCAGCTGTGGGCTGCACACAAAATGATTTAAAATAATTTATTTTAAATTAAAAAAAATCCATGCCAATCGTGCGGCTCATCCATCAATCAGCCAGTTGTGTGTCATGTCCAATCCATCCATCCATTTTCTTCCATTTATCTGGGGTCGGGTCGCGGGGGTAGCAGCTTAAGTAGGGAGGCCCAGACTTCCCTCTCCTCAGCCACTTGGGCCAGCTCCTCTGGGGGAATCCCAAGGCGCTCCCAGGCCAGCTGAGAAACATAGTCCCTCCAGCGTGTCCTGGGTCTTCCTCTGGGTCTCCTCCCAGTGGGACGTGCCCAGAACACCTCACCAGGGAGGCGTCCAGGAGGCATCCAAACCAGATGCCCGAGCCACCTCAACTGGCTCCTCTCGATGTGACAAGCAGCGGCTCTACTCTGAGTCCCTCCTGGATGATCGAGCTTCTCACCTTATCTCTAAGGGAGAGTCCAGACGCCCTGCGGAGAAAACTCATTTCGGCAGCCTGTATCTGTGATGTTGTTCTTTTGGTCACAACCCAAAGCTCATGACCATAGATGAGGGTAGGAACGAAGATCGATCGGTAAATTGAGAGCTTCGCCTTTTTACTCAGCTCTCTCTTCACCATGACCGACTGGTACAGCGCCCGCTTCACAGCAGACGCTGCACCTATCCGCCTATTGATCTCATGCTCCATTTTTCCCTCATTTGTGAACAAGATCCCAAGATACTTAAACACTCCTTCACTTGGGGCAGGACCTCCTCCCCGACCCAGAGAGGGCACTCTACCCTTTTCCGGCTCAAGACCATGGCCTTGGATTAGGAGGAACTGATCCTCATCCTGGCTACATCACACTCGGCTGTGAACCGCTCTAGCGAAAGCTGTAGATCACGACTTGATGAAGCCAACAGGTCCACATTATTTGCAAAAAACAGAGAAGCGATCCTAAGGCCACTAAAACGGATCCCCTCAACACCTTGACTCCGCCTAGAAATTCTGTTCATAAAAGTTATGAACAGAATCGGTGAGAAAGGGCAACCTTGGCGGAGTCCAACTCTCACTGGGATGTCATGTCCAATCTTACCTAGAAAAACCGTGAAAGAGTGAGTCTGTGAAAGTCGAACCGCAAAGTAATGAGGGACTATTGTACGAGTATATTGTTTTTTTGTTGTGTTGATTAGAATCAGGACTGATACTGAATCTATGTGAGAAAAAGCTATTTTCCTAAATTTGTTCTAATTGCTGTCATTTATTAGTGTTAATGTTGTCAGTGTTTCCAAAATGTATTTGACATAATGGTCAATCCAAACTGTAACCTGTTTTTAATTGTTTTTTTTTTTTTTAATAAAAGGGAGTGTTGAAAATAAGAAAAAGGGAGAAAAACAAATGCTAATTTATTACAAACTATGCTAAAAACTCTTTGTAGTGAAAAATGCGTCTTTAGTGGATATTTTAATCATAAATTATACACACAAACAAAAAATCAGGTCAAACCACTGACAAATTGCATTATTTGCCAACTATTATGGCTCTGAAGGAAAAAGAATACCGTAAATATTTTTATGGAAATTAAATGTCTACCATTTGTATTAAGAATTTGTTAAAATTTTATGGGAAACACTGTCAAAGACATGGTGTTTTATTGCACTCCTTATTATCAGATGAACTACTGAGTTATTTATAGGGATGATTTGTTTCTGAACCTCTTTTGCACATCACTTTGAACCACGTGTATGTTTCTGTAGGTCTTACAGGACTAACACCTCTGCAAAGGTTTCGATAAACCAAGGGAAAATGGAGCACGCACTCGAGTGATCATGCATCAGTGTGCACAGCTGAACAACGGCTGATGAACCAGCCAAGCAGAAACAGACACTTTACTCAACAGCCGTAGCCATGCTGGATGGGCACACGTAAAGGCAGAAGTGACACAGCACTCTAAATTAGACATCCTCACAAAAAAGGACGTTACAAAGTGCATCTAAAACAACCTTCACATTCTCAAACTCAGCACTGAACAACCAATGTTAGAGCAAAACAACAACACAGAGATTAATGAAATTCTGCTTCCTCTTGTCAAGTCATAAATACTTCAATTGTCATTATGTACAAATGTATGTCTGCTTGTCAGTTTTTTTTAAGTCTTTAAAATGGATATGTTGCCTTAATACATGGCAGTTTGCAGAAGAGGTTTCTACCATCAGTATGCTAGTGTGTTCAAAGTTGTTTTGTTTTAATTCTGACAATTTACTGCATTAAACTTTATTTTCTCCTCATGGTGCTTAGGCCCATTATTACTGGATATACATGCAATCAGTATTTTATATTAATTCCGCATTCTTCTAAATTAACTTAAAATTAACATTGGATAGCCTTCTTATAAACATGTCCAATTCTTTGCAATTTAAGTTGCAGCAACAAATGTTTTAAGCACAAGCATGAAAGCTGAAACCCACGTCTACATGTATATTAAGTACAGAGATGTGGCAGCAGGTTTCTCTCTAAAAAAAACAAACAAACAAAACCAAAAAAAAAAGCAGCAGAGCAAAATGACAGCCAGAAACATGAATTTTTGGGATGGACCAGACGGCTGCTTGCCTTCCACTGAGCACTGGCGTCCCATATGGTAAGGGGCGCCGTTGTGCATCTGCAGTTCCCCCCTTCGTTCAGGGAAGGTGTGCATTGTGGCAGAGGGGGGTACCGCTGAGCCATGATGTGTCTTTATATGCACCTTAAGGTAGGATGCGGTGGAGAAACCTGGGACCAGAAGAACAAAGAACAGTGCAGTTGCTTGACACACTCAAAGCCTTTGCTGAGAGCGGTGCTCTGAAACCAGCACAGGCTAATTTATGTTTATCTTATTCGTATGTCTTGGAGACGTAACGTAGATCTAACTAGCCCCCTTATGGAACCCAAACAGAAGAGGAAATCTTTAATTGTATTTTCTTGTGTAAATCAAAAAAGTTTACTGACGGAACAAAACAAGATATTACTCCCGGAGAGAAATGCTTGTCTGTGAGGCTGCAAGCACTTTGAGTTTTATGGGCTTTCTAAGAGCTAAAGAGGACAGAAGAGCTCCCTAATGGAGGGAAGATTAATTAACAGTTAGTTGATGAGGAGCCGACTCACGTTATAACCCCTCTCTGTATTTTGGCTCAAATGTCAGACCATTCCACTGGGTTTTGTTTTGGTATTTTGGCATTGTTTATATAGTATTTTTGTGTATATTTGTTTATAATGCTTGCCACCAAAAGGCAAACAACATTGTTGTTTTTGTGTGTGAGCGCAATCCCGCATGTGCATAAACAACATTTTTTATGAACCACTGGACAAATTTTACTGAAATTTGACAAAAGTAATCATAGGATGTACGTCTACAACTGATTAACTTTCAATATCAACCTAAATCAAGGTGGCCACCACAGACAACTATGGCTATAACTAAGTCCATGTTAAAGATATTTACTGTATATTTGTGATTGTAGTAGCTGAAACTGATCTCCAATACCTATTCTGAGTGCTAACAGATTGCACAAGACCTGTTTAAATTTGTGACATTATCTGTATGTAGTCAGCCTGTATGTTTGCAAAATATTTGATGAACCGCAGGAAAATTTTTAAAGACACATTCAGGAAATATTAATTTAATTTACACTTAAATTAACTTTTGGAGCCAACGCAATTCAACATGGCCGTAAGAGCCATCTGACGTTTAAAAACACAAAAATAGCTAAAATATGACCAGTTTTGTAGATTATGAGCTAAAATTTGACACAGACCTGTAGCTGCAAGTCGTTCACCACACATGCTCTGAGCATTTCAGATCTCTCTTGTAAATGAGTCCCCGAGGCTCAATAGGACTAGCCTGTATAGATAATAGTTGAATGAATAATATGTTGCAATATTGCATGAGATTGTGCACGTCAATTTCAAGGTTTGACCAAAACAGCTACAACTGTCATAACGCATAGCAATTTTAGTCTAAAACTCTGGCATGTAACTCAGCAAGCAACATGCATTTGGCCTTCCATTTGTTGTAGTGTTTAAATATGTTTGACAGTGTTTTAATTTTCTTGGTACTGGAGGTTACTGAAGCTGCCTTTTTGTGCTCCAGTGGCTCACTGTTCACCTGCATCACCCGGACCTCTCATTATACAGTTACAATAAAAATTTGTTGGTTTAAACACTGTTTTACACTCAAAGGTAAAAATAATAAAACAATTGCATCCATTTGCAAAATATCTACATAAAAGGATAGACCACCTCCATTAATTGTAATAACTATAAAACAGTTAAAACATACAATTTAAAGTAGTCACCAACTGTATTTGTAAAACAACTGACCTACAGTGCCCAACACAAACACCCAAAAACAGTTTTAAAGAAAAATGATCAACTCTCTTTCTCAGGGGTCTCCAACAAACATTATTACAGATTCAACCAAAGAATAAACTTGGTTTCTTCCACCTACAACAAAGTGTTTCAGTACAAGATGAAATACAGTTTTCATCAGAAAACTTGACAGAACAAAACTGAATCAAGTTCAGCCTTTCATGCAAAGAAAAAACAAACAAACTGTAATTTGGCAGTAGATTTTGAGGACATGCTTATCAGTTTATATCTGGTTAACTTTAGGAATGCTGAAGTGGAGACGCAGCAAAGATAATTTTGGAACAAGTCTCTAAGCATATTTGAACTTTTAACACAGAAGGCTCTGTTCAATAGCAGCCTCAAATGTCAACACAAATTATAGAAACCATTACATTATATCAAAGTATTGGGTAAAGTTTAAATCAGGTCAAATTAAATGCAAGTAGTATGAAACTAAAGGACACAAATGCTAGCAACAATATAATCCCAACTAAAATGCTACACATGCTATTCAATAAGGCCACAGATCAGAAATAACCAAATACCAAAACAAAATAATGCCATATTGGTGCTCACAGGTTCTGAAGCTGCAGGAACATACCACACAAAAGTAATTGGATTAGGAAACACCTGGGTTAAATCACTTGGATAAGAATTACCTTTATTGCAAATGCCACAGTAGTTGTGCGTTCCTTCGCTGTGTTTCTTTAGGTGGTCTGTCATGTAGGCGGCCCGCAGGAACTTGCCACAAACTTTGCAGGGAATTTTGTCCTCATGACATGCGAGATGCGACCGGAGGCGGTCTCTTGTAGCGAAGGAGGCATTACAAATCTGAAACATAGAAAAGCACGCAAGAATACTTTTCTACCATATCACGGTTTAAAACTCTCATCAGAGAAGTTTTTTTCACACCAAGACAAAGTGCTGGATCCTGAGGGTTACCTGGCACTTGTGGGGTCTTTCTGTTGTGTGAACTTGTTTAATGTGTCCATTTAGGTGGTCTGGTCTGCAAAGGACAAAAAAGATTTTCATTATTTGTATTTGGCATCCTCGACAACAGCAGCATAACCATATAAATACTATTTGTTTATTCCTGAGCAATTTTGTGTTGTGTATTTTGTGGCACATCTGAAAGTCATTCACCACAGATGTCTACACTGAATGTTGTTTTATTTGTATGGTGTAGAACAAAAGTCTCTATATAAGAACGTATCATTTGCAAGTCAATCAAATGAAGAAAGGCTGTGCTGCATCTATGCGAGTGTTTTAAAGTTTTACCCTTATTATGGGTTAAAGTCAACAAAGATGTAAAAAGCTTAATGTAGCCCAAAAACTATGACAATGACCTAATTTAGACGTTCTAGGTCAACGTTCAGAGGAGATGGATCTACCCTTTTAGGTCCAAACTGTGAGAAGCAAACACTACAACCTAACCCAATATTTTTCAGTCAGGTCATCTGGACAGTTTCTTTTTTTGTGCTGAAACGTTTCGCCTTCGATCTGGAAGGCTTCATCAGTCAAGGAAGCACACAACAAAACTGATTCTTCCCCCTGTCCAGATGACCTGACTGAAAAATGTTGGATTGTATACCTGGATTATTGAGCATGGACTTTGTTGTTTTCAATTAGTTTGACATGAGTGTCAACAAGGAAGAGGGCCAGCAATGGAGGAGGGGGGGTACCAAAGAGACCATCTTATCACAAGCAAAACTGGTTTGTTCCACTTTGGAGTAAGCTGTTGGACATGTTATGTTGCACATACTAAATTACTACTTAACTTTTAATAAATTCTATGACCGTTGTGTGACTTAACATGAATCTGAGCCAAATGTGTAAACTCACCTGCCCAATCATCGGGACTGTCACATACATTTCTCAGATTTTCACTTGTTTTATCCATTATACACTTGTCCATTTCCACAAATACGGTACCGTTTACCTAAATGGAATATGGTCTATATAAATGTTGGTCAATCTCCAAACTGGAGCATGTAGTTTCCAGCCTAGAACTTTGTTTACATTGAGTGCATACCTGCATTTCAGAATTACACATCAAGATATCCAGAAAACCACTGAAGTAAACTATTTCAAACTGCAGCACCTGGCACAGTTGAGAATTTTTTTATGTTTTGCTTTAGAATTTGCAATATGCATCCCAACAGGCACCTGCTTTAAACCCAAGACACACCAGCTGTTCAGGTGCAACTCACCTTGAAAAGCCTTTACCACAGCTTTGGCACACGTAGGGTTTGCCCACTGACCCATCGTGGGACCGCACATGGTACGACATCCTGTCCTTCCGTTTGAACCGCAGCCCGCACACGGGGCACGCGTACGGCTTCTCCCCGGAGTGGGAGAGCTTGTGCCGGTTCAGGTGGTACACGTCACGAAAAACCTTCCCGCAAATGTCACAACCCACGTGCCGCCTGGTCCGCTCTCGTTTGCGGCTGTTGTCGACGAGCGTCAGCCCTCCGGGCAGCTGTATGCCGTTGTCCAGGAGACCGGACTGTGTCAGTAAAGACAAGCCGCCCGTGGACAGGCTGACACCGAGGCTGTTCACGCCCACGGTGCTGGCTCCGTGCTGCGCTTCGTGATTCTTCAGGCGCGAAGCCTCCGTGAAGGCTTTACCGCAGGACCCGCAAGGAAACAGCCCATTGTCTTTCTGGGTGCCGTGATTGAAGTGGACAGCGTCCACGATGCCCCCAGCTTTCTTTGGTCTCCCCCTTCCCCTTTTCGATCCAGGGGATCCGGCGTCATGATGATGAAAAGTGCTCCCAGTGCTCTCTGTTGGTGGGGAGACAGAAAGTCCTTCCACCGGCTCCAGTATTGGCACCGAAGACTCGTCGCCGTCCTCCAACAACACGGCGGCTGCGTCCTCCCCGCCGTCCATATGCATCTGCGTGCTGTTAGCAAAGCTTTGGCCGTTCAATAGTAAACCCGTTCCGTTTAATAGATCCTGCTGAGCCACGGGGAAGCCCAGCTCCGTGGCCGCTGCGGCCTGGAAGAGGCTGGCGTCCCCTCCTCGGGCGGTCGGGACCAGGATTTGTACATTTGACTGCTTGATAACCTCCTGACAAATCTCAATGACCGACCGCATCAGCAGAAACTTGGCAGCTGTCATCAACTCAGGAAAGCACTCCAGTCGAACCACGATCCTGGAGGTGTAGGCGAAGTCCAAGATGTCTTTGAAAACTTTGGGGCTGATGGTGTGCATCTCCAGCTCCTTGGCGTCGCCCTCCGTCGGGCGGCTGAACACCGACTCGAAGTACTCGCTGCATGCGGCTAGCACCGCTTTGTGAGCGGGGAAGCTCTCCTCGCCGACGCGCAGGATCACGTCGCAGAACCTGCCTCCATCTTTCCTCTGAACGTTGAGGTTGTGTAGCATCTCCGCACTGTGCTTGCTCACCTGGTAGGTGTACGAAGAAGTCCAAGACGGCTCAGCTACCTTCTCCATACCGAATTCATCAAATAATGGTTGTTAGCGACGACGTCGGAGAAATGACAGATTGTGCGCAGCTAAAAAAAAAAAGCCCCCGAACCAGCCGCCCCTCCCGTCGTTTTTAGCTTCTACCGTTAAACGCTAGCAGCAGCAGGGGAAAAAATGGCAGCCCCCCAGCTTCCTGTGAACTTTAACCCTGCTTTCTTGATGGGTGGGGGTCGTCGTTGTTTCGTTGAAACCGGTTTCTCTGTAATTTGACAATAAAAGTACCATTTGTTTTAATATTATACGGCCGTAAATGCTGTCACTTGGGAGAGTAGCGCGACCACGGCGGAGGGATTTCATGTTATTGTGGTTTAACGTGAACACGCAGGTCTCTCTTCCTGCTTGTGTGCTGAAAGCCCCTCCCCCAACACAACAGAAACCCCCTTTTTCCTCTTCAGGCGCTGTCTCTAATCTAACCCAATCCAAATTACATGTGAAACACGCCACTCTACAAATCCGTTCAGGTGAGGTCTGGCATCTCAACGAGGACAAGCATATTAGAATTTATTATGAAATCATTAAAAATAAAATTTGTAGAAATATAAACAGCCCATTTGGATAGAATATTTTAATTAATCTTGCAAATAAATGCATTCATGGCAATGAAATCAGATTAAAGGTTATCATGTACTACATCAAATGGTGGTTTGAAAGAGTTTGTGGCTTTATAATGAATGTGATTCTGAAATGAGGGTCCACAAAGCCGAATCGGCTGAAAACCACTGGTTTGTTACGTGGTAGATCTATTTTAGCTTGGCCATAGTTGTGACTTATTGTCATTTTGTCCCTTTCCATGGGTAAAAATCAAGGTAGTTGGCATCAGAGCACAAATGTAGCTTTTTCTGGGTTTATCCTGAAATTATAGGATCTCCAGTTATACTGCGCCAAGGCCTGAAATTGTACAAATATATTCATCCTGTACTTATACATCATGTGGCCAAATTCTTCGGATTCACTGCAGGAGATCCTTCCTGCCCACAACTATCAGCATCTAGAACAACTCTAGAATGAAACCAGGAGGATGAGCTATAACAACAATTAATTTCCCTTTGGGATTAATAAAGTATTTTTGAATTGAATCATAAAACAGCACAGTAAGTTTATTTCAGCTGCTCCCTTCTTCAGGGGTCATCACAGCAAGCAAACTCGCATGAAAAGATTTGGCAATTTATTTCACGCCAGAAGCACGTCCTAATGCAATTGGGCTCAAACCCACAACCTCAGGATTACAAGACTGCAGCACTGTCTGGCTCCCACAGACTCGGGCGTACTTCAGTCTGCGCATACCAGATTAGAATCAAAGCGGACGGCCGCAAGGCATGTCTGCGCAAAGATCAATTTTTACGACTATGTACGCGTTTTCTGTGCCACACAAACTGCCCGGTGACAGATTGTTTTGTATGCGACACCAATGGTCTGGTTCAACGGCCTTTTTTTTTTTTTTTTTTTTTTTGCCACAAGGCAAACAATCTCTTTCTCCTTGTCCATTGACGCCATGACTTAAATTGTGAGAAATTAAGGAATTCGTCATGAAATATTTAAAATCAGGCCCGACGTGGCTGCGGGAGAGTCTGGAGATTTTGGAGATTTCCCGGTGGGCCAGTCTGATGTGTGGGCTGCAGGGCCAGCGCTCCCAGTTTATTGTTTAGAACTTTTTATTAACATATAAACACAGAACACAGCTTCCACTGGGCTGCCAGCTTTTTTTTTTGCGACCAATTAATCCAGTAGTCGTGTCAGCAAATGACCACTCTGCGACATCAATTTTTCCCGAAGGTAAACGCCCCTTGCCTGTGGAGCTGAGCAGCAGCCCATCAGGGTGTACGCTGGAGTATGAAGCCTGAACAATCTGCGGACAGTGCACACAAGTGTCCGCGCGGCTCGCAGTACGCCCGAGTCTGTGGGAGCCTCAAGTTACTAAAGCCCCTACATCAAAAAACAGTATGTTGACCCAAATACGCTGTAAGCAATGCTCTCAAAACTGAAAATGATCTTAGTATTTAAAAACTATTCTGGTTACAATTGACTGACAATGGGCACTTGTTTAAAGGAACCATACTTGATTTATGAAACTACAAAGTTATGATTTACACTTTAAATAAACCCACATTTTGTACTCCAATTCTACATAAACCAATTGTACCTTTAAGAAATGCTGATTCAATAACTTCATTGGGTTGTTGCAAGTCAAATATGCAAGACACCTTTTAATCTGAAACCAGTGTATATGAAACAATATTGTTGCCAGCCAGTAAGAAGTCACTTAAAAACAGTCTTATATTCATTGTTTTATTTATTAATTTCATTTGTGCTTCTTTTAATTTAACAGCACATCAACTTAATCCCAAGCACCCTCAAATAACAGTGTGAACAGTGCAATCCCTCTGATGATACAGAACTGGAGGAGATACAGTTGGGGAAAGCAAAACAAAAAAGGCACAACCAGCTTGCTGCATCCTTCAGTGGTGTCTTGCTACGCTTAACCTCAAAGAAAAGCCACTAGCCAAAGATGGAGTGTGCACTGAACTAACTCAACCTACCCTACCATTGCTCATTTACAGTGGCTCTTCTTGTCAGGGAGAGAAGCAATTAAGGAATGCTACCAGCTCTTAATGACTTTTACATATTTTCCTCCTGTTTCATCTTCCCACAATAAGATGAAGGTAAAGGGAAGAAGAAAAAAAAAAAACTAAAAAACAAGAAAAACATTGCTATATACAGAGAATAAGATTCTTTCCCATGGTCTGTACAATTAATCCTTTACATTATTTACTGTCTAATACAAAAAAAACTCACTTAGCTGGCAAAATAAATCTCCACTTGCTTCATGAAAACAGAGCACGGCATGGTTAGAATGTCCCATGATGCACCATCTTTCAAATTAAAGTTCACATTTTATGGTAACCAAGAGGAGGAAATGGGCAAACGGGGAAAAAAAAAAAAATTCCAGCAAAGCATTTTAACTTATGGCCTAAACTCCAATTCATCTACACTGATGACTTTGGCTGGCATAGAGGGCAGTGGCTGTTCAAGTACATCTGATCCAAACCACTTGGCGAGGCCTGGAGGTGGGCTTCCCCCATGACGCTGGTTGCCATTTGTTCGATGGGGGCCTTGGATGTGTGACTGAATGCCTGGTGCGTTGGGATGTACTGCAAGAAAAACACATTTTTAATTCAAAGCCAGACTTTGTATAATTTGTGCAAGGTAAAACCTACACTGTAGTCAAGTTTATATTGCACAAACCATCAATGAAGACCACCACATGGTCACACTTGAGCTGCAGCATCCGACTTACTTGGTCTTTGCTGTTGAAGCTGCTGCTGCATAACTGCTATCTGCATTGGAGTATTGGCTCTGGGAGGTAGAAGTGGATGTCCTGTTGCACTCAGTGGGTACAGAGGCTGTCCTAGTAGGGCAGGAGGCAAGCCTTGAAGTTGTGCAAGGTCAACATGTGGTGGAAAGATACCTTGTGAGTACAATTAACAATTCGTCAAGAAATATCCAGGTCAGACGTTTACACAAGGACAAAAAGAACTTTGACAATAATATAGAAAGATCATCAGAAGATCAAAATGTCCGGAAAAAAAAAAAAAAAAAAAAAAAAAAAACAAAATTTCCCGAAAAAAAAAAAAAAAAAAAAAAATCTACAAACCTGCTTGCACAAGAGCTGGTCCGAGCTGCTGGGGCTGGATCCCCTGTGCCAGCATTCGTTGAATAACATTGGGGTGGAGCTGTGGGGGTGGGCGTACCATGGGAACATGAGATAGAAGTGGTACTGGATAGATGGGACGAGGAAAAGATGAAGACGGTCCTGGAGGTACCATATTGGGAATTTGGTTTGCAGTAGAGCTGAGCCTCAGACGCTCTAGATCTTTGCTTTGCGATGTTTGAGAGCTGGGCTTTACTCCTGATTGTGCAATATTTCCATCCATTAATTCCATTAATAGATTTGGAGAGCTGCTACCTGTAAGCACAAAAAACACATTTGTGTGTTAAAGGGCCTTGTATACACAATTTGTGGTTAATATCAAAGTGATGTGCATAAATAAACATTTACCATCTTGTGAGTTAACTGCTGCCCCCTCTTTGGTCTCTGAACGACCCAATGGTTCATCTTTGCCTTTTTCTTTTGTTGCGTACATTTTGCGGATCACAGATGTGGGAGTGAATGATGGGGACAACTATAATTAGAAAAATATAAACCAGTATAAACCGGTATGTTGAGTTGAAACTAAAGTTTCTTCCCTGCAGCATGACTACTCCAGGTGGGGGTTAAAAGTCTGGATAAGAGGAATTTTGCTCACCATGCTGGTGACCGCATTTCCTGGAGAGCTTGTTCCAGCAGACTGAGGTCCAGGTGACCGATTAATATGCTGCGGTCTATTGATCACAGACAGTGAGCTAAACTATACTAAATCATCATCATCAGGCAGCATACACTGACGTTTGCAAATATGCAACACAAATTTATGTAAAACAATTGTTCTTTATCACTTTCACAATTTTCACCACAAACCCAGTTTTAAAAATGTGCACCAACATAAATACATGCAACTAAACCCCCCAAAAATAAAGACTCACCTGTTTCGGAAAGACCTATCCTGCGGGTGTTTGTTGTAGCCTGGCTGAAATGAGGGGTGGGCATGTAGAGAGAGATCCTGCTGAAGTGCCAGGGCTTCTAGATCAGAATGATTTATTGGTAGTGAGAGCACCCTCATCTGGATGAAGAAAATAGGAAAGCTACAGTTAAAAACAAGCCACAAGTTTTGGTAGCACATCTTGGCCACTGTCAGTTTGACCATCTTCTGAAAACCTTAAGGCAGAATCTCACAAGCTATGTTCATATGGACATAAATAAATCGGATTAAACAGCCATTCGGAATAAAAATGTTTCATATAAACATCCCATTCGTATTATTCTGAGCTGATTCAGCTTGATTCAAATGAATATGTAATCTGAATGAGAGGGGTGGTTTATGCAGATTCATAATCCTAACGGTGGGCATGTATCTGATCATTTTATTCCGATCGTGGAAAACTGACTTGACTGCGCATGTGCGACCTACATCAACCTCACGCATTTCCACCTGGCTAGATGCTAATATGTCAGGGAAGCAAAACTCAGTGAGCGACATTTCTACTAGAAACTTTGAAAGAGCTGCATTACCTGTAGCTCAGTCAGAGAGTGCAGTAACGTCTCCAGTCATTAAAACCTGTTGCAGGTCCATTTTGGACGCTCAGTTTTGTTTATGTTCATCACCGAAGTAGAACAGAAGTAGAACCTCTTCTGTGTGTTTTTTTAAGGAAAGTTTACCACTCTGTAGGGCTGAGTACCAAACCGAGGTTCTTTTATGGCACCGACCGAACTGCACCGGTCGGTGTATGTATTGAAACGTCACTCTTCTTTCGGTGTCAAGTTTCGGTATTGGCTGTAACGTGTCACGTGGTTTCAGCATGCAGGCAGGCAAAACACCAGACATATGACAAACAGACTACACCCAGAGCTGTATAGAGCTGCCGTACCTAATCTATGTATAATTATGTCTATGGTGCTGGTGACGCCACAGACAGGTTCACGTGTTTAGCATGTGTTGTCGAACGGCTTCGACAACACGCGCTGCAGAAAGTTGCTCCGTGTTTTTCTGCGAGGAGAGAGGACAGTAGCCGCCCCCCTCCTCCTCCTCCTCTCAGCATTAAAGTCAGCCTGTGAGTAGAGCCTGAACGTCCCGATTCATTATCTCCACGACCTGACTCTTCATCAAAGAACTCCGAAGACATCTCGTGTCTATGCTTCAGCTGGTAAGTTTACGTTTGTAAGCGTAACTGCAGCTTAACGCGTACATCGTGGTGAAATAAATCATCCATGTAACGCTAACTTTAAGATATTAGTGTGTAAATTTATATTATCTACGTAGCTAGCTAAACTCAGAAGCTAACTAAAGATTGACAGCAACATAAATCTTAGATTGTAAAACTGCTAATCCATCCAGTCAGCTGCTTAAACAGTTCACCTAATGTTCACTGTTTATGTTAATGTTCTCCTCACAGGAGGTTCTGACCCTGATGCGAGGACAAAAGAAAAGCGAGGTGGAGGCCACAGGACAGTCAGACTTTGTTAAAAGTTTGCTGCCTTTTTCTACAGTGGAGCTGCATGGTGGAGGCAAGTTAAACTTTAAAGGATTTTTTTGACCAGTTAAGCTTTTATCTCTCAGCCTAGATAATGTTTTTTGAGCAATAATAACACAACCATGATATTGTTGATGTTTTGTTCTCATGCCAATTAGGGAGATGATCAGAGTCCTAAACCCCAGAGAACCACAGAGAAGATTCAGGCACAGAGGTGCAGATGTCTGCATCATCCCTACCTCATTGAATCCAGTGACCTGCTGGTGGAATGTGAGGGACAATATGTCAGTGTTATCGAACTGACAACCAGATATCCGTGTGTGCAACAAGCATCATCTACAGCCTCAGGGTGCATTCACACTAGCCCCGTTTAGTCCACTTTAATCGAACTCTAGCTCGTTTTCCTAGAAAGTCCAGTTCGTTTAGGGAGGTGTGAACGCACCATCGAACTCTGTCACGGAACAAAAAGGCGAACTCTGGCCCGGGCTAAAACCTAGGTCTCGGTCCGGTAGAAGCGAACTCCAGCGTGGTTCGAGTACAGTGTGAATGTAAACAGACCGAGCCCCGCGCCGCAGGACAAACAAACACGCATTTCTCTGACCTTATATGGAGCCGTCAGCTGCCTTGTGTGGAAAAACAATATTCTCCATGGTCTTCTGTCTCATCTTCTGCTCATGCCAAGTCCATTTTTGAAAAATGACAAAATATAACTCCTAAAACTTGATGCCACTTCGTTTTTATTTTTATTTACAGAAGAAGAAGAAGACGCGTCTTCAGAGGTTTTTGTGTCGTTTCTTTCAGTAGTTCTTGGTGCAGCGCCCCCACAGGCGAGCGGGGGAATAGGTTGGTTCAACAGGTTGACTTGACTGCACAGTGCAGTGTGAATGCAAACTCACCAGCTCAAATGTAAACAAAAGCTCATGAATATTGGTCCAGAACAGAACCGAGTCTACCGGACTATCTAGTGTGAAAACGACCTCAGAGTAAACATTTCCTACTGCTGGAGACACCATCAGCCAGGAGTGGGCTTGTTTGTGTCCACAGAAAGCAGACATGTTGATTTTTCTGAAGACAAACTGTTCAGTGAAAAGGTCCTCAATGTGTAGCAGTGAACATTAAACACCGACGTGTCACTGGTTTGAAACTGGTCTTTTGAACTGGAAATTAATTATTTGTTTGTTTTTATGTAAGAAAACTGCTTGGAATAGAAAAATACCCAAGTTAAAAAATAAAACTCACAATTTGTACTGTAATGTGTAACGTAATTTTATTCGTTAGAATCAATAGTAATTACAAAATTGGTACCGAAAAAAGAACTGTCCAGGAACCGATTTTTTTAGAAAGGTACCCAGCCCTACCACTCTGCGCATGTCAGTACTTCTATTTTGAATAAAAGCCTGCTGCATGTAAACGCTCATGAACGGACTGTGCCCATGTAAATGACAAATTTAGATTATTTAATCCAAATACATTTCAGTCCGACCAAAGAATTTTGCGTATGTAAACATCGCTACTGTATTGTGACGAATGGCAATCAACATTCATGAGGGAGTTTCCAAAAAGACCTTGAAACATTCACAGGGGTTTTCAAAATCCTTATGTTATGGCTACATTTACACTGAAGGCAATTGCAGCCAAATTCAAGCTTTTTTTTACCGCTATATGACCCATATTTGAATTTTTATGGCAGTTTGAATGTGACAATTGGGGGGGGGGGGGGGGGATTCTTATCTGACCCAGGTCTTGATATCAAATTCACGTCCATTGTTTTTCAAAGCGACCCCAGTCTGAACCGTCATGTCGCACTTCATTCAACCTTTACATCAGTGAGGTATGAAGATCGATCCCAGTATCGATTACGTCAATAATAATGTCATTCAGAGCCAATTTTGGAACTCTGCACAGCCTCAGCCACAGAACAAAAGTCCAATTTCTTCATCTTTAGTCCTTGAATTTCCCCTGTTCTGGATAACAGATTTGATACCAACATAAGATACATTAGTATCTTATAGGACCATATCAATACCAACGTGATGGGATTGATTTGAGTTTTGCTTCTACCTTCAGTACGCCACCCCCATTCCAAAAATACAATGCTGTGCTGGAGCATATATAAACTGAAATAATTAAGCATGTCAAATAATTGAATCTTTTCTGATTGCACATCAACTTGAGGACTGATTCATACGTTAACATGTTTAGCATTCATATCTACGTCCTTGAACGCCACATGTTGGGTGTGCCGTTAACATTTTCATCTGTGCATGCAGGTCATATCAGTGTAAACAATTCACACTGGAGTAGGCTGGAGTCGAATTTTAATGATAAACAACCATGCAAAAAATAAATATTGGATTTGAGCCTTAAGAGCTGCAACGTGAATGCAGAAGCTCACAAATTAGTTGCCTATTGAACATATTTGTGCGATCAATTCTCTCAAAAATAGAATTGTTGCAGAAGTCTTGAACCCATTTCAGTTTAGTTTCCATAAATTTGACGAGTGCCAGAGTTGAATTTAGACACCTGAATGAGAGCTCTCTTTATGACAATCTGAGCTTCTTTACTGTGCGATAGTCCAGCATGTTTAACGGTGTTACCTGTTGTGCAGGACTGATCGACCGGTGTACATCAGCAAACTGTTCCGACAGGATGGGCTGAGGACCAACAGGAAATCCTTGAAGAAAACAGAAGAACCAACAATTCAGCTTTTAATCTACGCAAACTAAAATGTACAATTCACAAATAGCTGTTATATGAAAACACATTAAGCCCACTTTCAAATTTGTTTAACTTAAAATCTGTCTCTGTGTACCAAAAGGTATTTAATTCTGTTGAAACTTTTTACTGTCATTACCTGCAGAAGGTGGCAACCTGCTTTTAAAGTAGTCAGGTGATGGGGCCCTCGGTGGGAAGAGAGGGGGCGAGGGGCCCTTGTGTAGTAAACCATGTAGAGGAGCAGCAACCACTGGAGGCTCAGAGTTGCCCAACAAACCACCTAAAGGTGTTGGGGAGACGCTACGACCTCCCAATAGCTCCTACAAAACAAAACAGATTTTTGAAAAATTCACTCTTTGCTTTACAATATGAAAGTTAAACTCAAGTGACAAATTGTCCTGTGTAAGGGCTTTTCTTCATAAGACTGAACAAAATTAGTTTGGGCCAGAAGAATTTAAACTGCTGCTTCAAGTGACATAAAAACATCACAGGGTTAGAATGTTCTTAGATTTAGTCATTTTTACTTTGGTCTCATTTGAATTATTTATTTTTAGAAAGGATGTATGAATTTCTGACTGATAAAGCATTGCGTCTACTGTACAATACAATTGTTGTGCCACATTTGTTCTATTTTGTATAAGCTTCGCCCTTTAAGGCTGTCGCTTGGTGGGTTTATCCCGTTATGCGGAGCATTACACTGAAAAATTTAGTCCACGCCCACCTGCTGTGTGGGCCCCACCCGGTCCGTATAAGTTACGTTAAGAGCGGGAAATCCCATTTTTTCTTCAGCGAGCTATAGCACTGTCAGAAGAACGAAGAAGGAAAGTTGTGTAGATGACCAACCTTTGTTAAGGATGCTTGGCCCGGCAGTCGACCTCCGGTCGTCCGGTGAGTTCTCCTCCCCGAGGAAAAGCTGCCGAGCAGTCTTATTTCAAGGTAAGCGCCGAAGAATATTTCTCAGCGACAGGTCACTACACGCTGGACAACGCCATCTTGTAATTTTCCTCTTATCGCAGACCCTCGGAGTGAATCGGATGGTTCCTCCGGGACAGGCGGCGCTCAGCTGCAGCCCCCCGCTGCTCATTCCCTCCTGGAGAGCCTAGTGTCGGAGGGGGGCTGAGTGAATGCTCACCCCATCCCACCTCGTTTCGCATCGGCGATCACACCGCTCACGGCCGACGGCGCCCTCAGGGGTTGCCCGGCGTAACCCAGGAGGCGGCTGACATGAAGGGACCTTTTTTACGTCCCACGCCTTTTCCCGCCAGTTCGGATGATCCGGCGGGAAGGTTGTTTACTGGGTTCCATTCCGGCTCACCGTCTTGATCCATATGGCCTCGTGTTCCAACAGGACGTCCTACGGGCGAGGCCACAGACGGTTCTTTCCTGGTAGATTGGGGAGCCGGTCTCCACAGTCCGCACCCATCTCAAGAGCAGGGGTTCACCAAGCGGAAAGTCCCTCCGTGCCCCCTGGAGCCGAGCCTGATGGAGGCTTCATTGGAGCAAGATGTCGAGGTGGACCAGCGTCCCGTGCCTCCGGTTAGCATAACCGTGACGGTGACACCACTCTCCAACTGAGCTCACCAGCATGCGTTCCACATGGCCGCAGCGAACAACACGTTACGCTGTTGGCGTACACGCTCAGAGGCGGGAAGAGACGTGCCCCTCTGTCCTTCGGCTCGCTCCGCTCTCGTAGCGGCTGCTTGCTAACAACGCTGCCGGCCCCTGCAGTACGCTCCGTCTACAGGGCAGCTGACGTCATCCTCAACCGGTGCGCCTCTTTTGCGGTCTGCCGCCCCGCATCGCAGCTGGAGAACGAGGTCCCAGAGGTTCTCCTGGCTCGTCACTCCACCTTCCTCTCAGGAGAGCTGCAGGAGTTTTTGTTGGAGGTCCTCTTTTCATCAGCGAGAGATCATTTCAAGATGCTCCACGGCTGCACGCCTCCCCAGCTCTGTTACGCCAGCTCCTCCCGTCAAGACGTCCCCGGCATCCGGAAGTTCATTTTTTTTCCCGGACTTCGCCAACAGGGGGCCCTCCACGACAACAACAGAGCTCAACGGAAGGTAACCAGGTGTCGGGTTACTGGAGGTGTGTTGATGACAATGTGAAATAACATCATTTTATGATGAAGTGTCTTTTAGCCAGGCTGTCAGCATGGTTTATCTGACAAGCGGCTCCATCACACACACTCATCACGAATGAGCCTTTTAAGGTTGTTTTTCATTCACTGCCAGCGGCGCCGATACGCGCTCCCGCGGCATGAAAGCGCCCGCCGTTCACGTCAACGTTAACGTGAGACCGCGGTACGAGCTCAGCAACGTACCTCGCTCTCGGCAGGAGCGACACACGTTTTTTCATCGCAGTGGTGTCAAACGCGCGCTCCCGCGGCGTCAGCAGCTTTCACAAGCCTCTTAGCGCTTTGCTCAGGCATCCTCGAAGAAGGTTTTCTGAACTAATACTGCAGCTCGTGGAATCACTCAAAAGTTCACGTGACTTGCAGCCAAGAATGAACGTGTTTCTGCAGACTGAGCAGTGGTAGCCTAGCTCCACCAATGCCGCGCGCTGCTTCCTGACCGCACCAGTGCCAACGCGAGCTCCCGCGGCGTCAGCAGCCGCACAAGACTTCACAACGGCTCGTCTCCGGCATCCGCGAAGAAGACCGGGCCAGTGGTAACTTGCTCCACCGATGCTGTGCGCTGCTTCCTGACCGCACCAGTGCCAACGCACGCCACCGTGGCAATCCTGGCTTAAGGCGTCGCATGAATGAGGACGCGCACACACGACCCTTCAGGGCACGTCGGCTCATACGCGCACCCGCTTCCCAAGCGTTTACATGGAGCAGCTGCACACAACGTGAGCACAACACAGATGAGCTGCTTCCACACAACGTCTTGCATGCTCAGGGAAGCGTGTGTTTTTTCTTTCTCACTCAGCGTGCTCCAGCTCACATCAGCATGCACGAGAGTTTTTCACAGCATAAATGCGTGCCCGCCTTATAACTTATAACGGGTACTTATGAGCGCGCACTCCAGACGGATGGGCGAACTGTTTTCATCCGGGGATTCACGCTGCAGTCCAGCTCAAAACCCGGTGTGGAAGAACTCTGCCGTTTTTTCGGTCATTTATGAACAGACCTCATCCCCTCTTGCAGAAGCTCAGGAAATTCTGTTTTAAATGTTATTTCTGGAGTCGCAAAGGAGAGGAAAACGCAAGGTCCCTCTCTCATCACTTCCTGGTCCCAACAAACTGGAAGATGAGATTTATTCTAGATTGTCAATCTCTGAACTGTGAGAAACAACACCATTATGCGTCCGAGCCGCCTTAACTCTGCTTTATCTGGACACCTGCTGCTGTTGAGCAGTTGTATAGACAGGTGGCAGCAGTGCAACTCACGTGAATCGGTTGAGTGACAGCTGTTTTCCGTCAGCAGACCTACGTCACACATGTCAGTTTTTCACAGAGGCACACACATTTAACAAGCTGTGGGGCCGCTGTAGTTCTCCACACAGCAGCTCATTTAAATGTTTTTGGAGCGTCGCAGGGGCTCCTTGAATGTGACTAAACACTGACCTTAAGCTGCAGAATCATCAGGGTTTTCTGATTTACACAGACAGCAAGTGACTGTTGCATACATACTGGCAGGAGATGCATGCGTTTCAACCATGTGCCACATTGTGAGACAGATGCTGTGTGGGGCACACCCAATCTGCTCTCCATTGGAGTGGGTACATCTCATGTATTCTGAACAGGGGGCGGATGGGATGTCCAAGACAGTCCTTTGTGGCACGGGGACCTGGGACCTTCCTCCCAAAGCTATGGCTCAGACACGGCAGGAATCCTGCCAGCGCCTGTGGACGTGTAGCAACACGAGAGAACGCTCAATGTCAATTATAATTATCGTGGAGCCACGGGACGATCCACCGCTGGGTGGACGTGCCTGCTCACAGCCTGTGGTCGTAATGCTTTTTCACCTTCCTCTTTCCCTCTGATATCACGGTTTTCTGAACAGAGCTCAGGAGGAGGGACTGACAGCTCCTCTGTCCCAAGTGCGTGAACGCATCATGGTTCCCAGGCCTACGACATTTGTTATCAGGACACTCGTGGAACCTGCCGTGGAGGGAAGACGCTCTCCTCCAGGCGGGAGGAACGATCAGGAATTAATCAGAATAGGCCAGCACCTGTGGTTTGGCCGCTGTGCGGATCTTTTTGAGAGGATGGATCTCTCTCAAGATGTAGTGCGTACGATTCAGGATTCACGTGCTGCAACCACCACAGCGCTGTTCACATCAAGTGATCAGTTTTTCAACGCTGCTGTACAGAGAAGGCGTAGAGGCCACTTCATGTCCACTGGACGACATGCTGTCCTTTTTCTGCAGCAGTCGATGGGACAGAAATCTGGTGTCCAGCACAATTATCGTATGCTGCAGCCATGTTTTCTTCTTGTCTCAAAGTTGTCAGAGACAGAACAACCTCTAATCATCCTCTTACGGAACATTTTGACTCAGATTGAAATAGCAGCTGTGGGCCTGTTTGTGACACGAGAAAACGCTCAGTGTCAATTATGGTTTTCTCTGAGCCCACGAGACGAACCACCGCTGGGGGTGGATGCGTTTGCCCACAGCCCATGGCCCAAAATGCTTCTGTACGCGTTTTTTCTCCACCTCCTCTGATTTTACGGTTCTTGAACCAAGTTCAGGAGGAGGGATTGGCAGCTCTTCTGGTGACCCCGAACGCGTGAGCGCACCATGGTTCCCAACCCTGCAATGCCTGCTGTCGGGGTGCCTGTGGAAACTGCCGTGGAAGGAGGACGCTCTCCTCCAGGCAGGAGCGACCAGGAGTTACCCAGAAATAGGCCAGCATCTGTGGGTCTGGCCGTTGGAACAGATCCACTTAGAGAGGATGGGTCGCCCACAGGAGGTAGTGCGCACAATTCAGGTTTCACGTGCTGCATCTACCACAGCGATGTACGCATCAAAGCAGACAACTTTTCAGCGCTGGTGTACAGAGAAGGGTGTAGAGGCCACCTCATGTCCATTAGGCGGCGTGCTATCCTTTCTGCAGCAGCTGATGGACAGAAATTTGTATCCAGCACGTTTAAAACGTATGCTGCAGTCATCTCTTCCTGCCACGAAGGTTTCTGAGACAGAACAGGTTTTAATCATCCGCTGATGAAGCGTTTTCAAAAAGGCCAGGTTCAGAGACGCAGGCCTGTTTCACACCCACTTGTTCCACAGTGGGATTTAATACTGGTCCTGCAGGTCCTGATCAAAGCTCCATTTGAGTCTTTGGATCAGGTTCCACTTAAATTCTTGTCTCTTTAAACAGCCCTGCTGCTGGTTTTAACATCCGCTAAGAGAGTGAGTGTTTTATCTGCCCTCTCTGTCGCTCCATCATGTCTCAGAATTCAGGCTGACGGCAGCTCAGCTGATTTTAGACCAACCCAGCTTTTATGCCTAAAACATCACAAGCTCTTTTTAATCAAGAGCGATATCGTTGGAGGGGTCGTCGCCTCGCCCCCCCCCCCCCTCACACAGACCAGAAGAAGTAGCATCTTTTTATCTCCTCTGTCCTGTGCGGGCGTTGACGGGTTACATAGCGCGCACAGCTGCAATGCGTCAACATTTGTTTGTGCATTATAGAGATGCATCTGCAGGTCGCCCGTTATCCACCCAGCGCTTGTCACACTGGCTGTGTGAGGCCTTTTCTGAATCCTACAGAGCATCAGATTTAGAGCCTCCTGTCAACCTCAGAGCACACTCGACCAGGGGTATCGCATCTTCGACTGCTTTGCATAATGTATGTCAATGCAGGACATTTTGCACTGTGGCCGCGTGGTCAACACCCTGCTCATTTATTCGCTTTTATTTACGTAATGTGACGGCTCGTTCCATGACACATTCTGTCTTTAGTGTTTTACAGAATGAATATTGTTGTTCATGGAACTCCGCTTTACTCATATCTGTCTGCATGCATTACAGTGTGAGATGTTATCAGTCACAAGTTGTGACTGTTATTTTGGTTCTATTGTTACTAATCAGTTTCACAACTATTGTTACCAATCATTTCATTTGATTAATAATCAGCTCTCCTGTTATTAATCTGTTCATACGGTTCAGCCATAAACCGGTTGGTTCATGGTTCTTTCAGCTTTTTCCCTCCCCGTTGAAGTTTTCAAGGGCGTTCATGTATTCAGAATGCAGTTACACAACATGCGACTGTGCATGGCACACATAATTACGCAATGCGCAATTACGCACATGGGGAGCTGAGTGACGAGACGTTTTTGGGCAAGCTTCTGCTTCATACGGTGTTCGAATGGACCCAGTGAGGCGAGGACCACATCTGCTTCGCCCTTAACCCACCAAACGACAGCCTTAAAGGGCGAAGCTTATACGAAATAGAATGTCGGTTACGTACTATAACCCCAGATTCTATGAGTATAAGCGTAGCCCTTTAAGCGTCTGGCCTCACTGGCTCCTAAATGGCTGAAGAAAAAGCTTTTTTGGGAGCCGATTTCTCGCTCTTAACGTAACTTATACGGACCGGGTGGGGCCCACACAGCAGGTGGGCGTGGACTAACTTTTTCAGTGTAATGCTCCGCATAACGGGATAAACCCACCAAGCGACAGCCTTAAAGGGCTACGCTTATACTCACGGAATCTGGGGTTACAGTACGTAACCAACGATTTATTGTGTTGCTATCTGGGGTACAGCTTGTAAAACTGCAACAGTCTATTTTTATTTTACAAAAAAAGAGTTGAGTTATCGCAAAGCATTATCGCAATCCTTCAAGTATTTTGTTTTATCAACTGAAAATGCTTAAGTTTTATGATTTGGTGGATTACAATATTCTATTATTTTTGTACAAGGCTCAGAACCAAAATTTACCATCAAACATACAAGTGTATTTCGTTAAAAGGAATAGTTGTTATAATTTAAAGGGAACAGATATTTTTGTAAAGATGAAATACAGAACAAATTTTAAGGGTAGGTCTACTTCAATCAAGGGAATTAGTTTATGGAATGGTTTGGATAATGATATCAAAAAGGAGAATTCATTAGTTGTATTAAAAAAAAAAGATTAAGAATGTATTGATGATGAAAAATAAGTTGGATAATGATATGGAATTATAATGAATTGTGATAAGTTTTATGGTTGGTTGTATTATGTATTGTTTGATTAGATTGTTTTGAATTGGTATGGTTTAGAAGGGGCAGAAATGATAAGAATTCGTTCTTCTGCTGCCTTTTATTTTATATGTATCTTATTTTATTTGTATGGAATAAGTCTCGTTTTAACTGAAATGAATGAATGAATGAATAAATAAAATAAATAAATAAATGTACACAAGTTCAAACACAAACAGTGCACAGTTTTACATTTTGACAAATATTGAATAACATTTTTAATAAGGGACAGCATGGTGGCGCAACTGGTAGAGCTGCTGCCTCTCAGCGAGCAGGTCCCCGGTTCAAATCCCGATCCGGGGGCCTTTCTGGGTGGAGTTTGCATGTTCCCTCTGTGCATGCGTGGGTTTTCTCCAGGTACTCCGGTTTCCTCCCACAGACCAAAAACATGCATGTTAGGCTGATTGGTTACTCTAAATTGTCCCTAGGTGCGAGTGAGAGTGTGAATGATTGTTTGTCTGAACAAAGTCCATGCTCAATAATCCAGGTATAAAATCCAACATTTTTCAGTCAGGTCATCTGGACAGTAGGGGTTGAACGAGTATATAATTTTTAAACTCGACATTAACATAATAAAACCCATAGTAGAACTAGAGTATTTGATGACATCGTAGATCTCAAGATACAAAAAATAAATAAATCCGCAAAAAAGGTAATTATTTACAAAAAAAAAAAGACCAACAAAACATTGGGAGCGTATATTATGCTCCTACCAGTACCATACTGCAAATAAGTCCTATGAAAAACTAAACTATTAGTTATTATTATTAAACTGCAAACGTTAAGAAACATGCAGCACTCAAAAATGCAACTTAAACCGAAACTGGTTCTGGTTCGGTGGATTGGACCCAGTGTTACACCATACTCTGACCTGCAACAGTGCAACACCGCCCCCTACGGTCATACGGTGGTCACATAATATGACATCACTACGGATACTCGACGTAACATTTTTAACCTCGATAGATGTCCTAGCAATCGATGTGTTACTCGAGTACTCTGTTAATGCCCTACTGGACAGGTTCTTTTTTTGTGCTTAAGTGTTTCTCCTTCGATCCGGAAGGGTTCATCAGTCAAGGGAACACACAACAAAACTGATTCTTCCCCCAACAGCTTACTCTAAAGTGGAACAAACCAGTTCTGCTTGTGATAAGATGGTCTCTTCGGTACGCCCCTCCTCCATTGCCGGCCCTCTGAAGAAACTGTCCAGATGACCTGACTGAAAAATGTTGGATTTTATACCTGGATTATTGAGCATGGACTTTGATGTTTTCAACCAGTTTGACAAGACTGTCAAAAAGGATGAGGGCCAGCAATGGAGGAGGGGCATACCAAAGGGACCATCTTATCACAAGCAGAACTGGTTTGTTCCACTTTGGAATAAGCTGTTGGGGGAAGAATCAGTTTTGTTGTGCGTTTCCTTGACTGATGAAGCCTTCTGGATCGAAGGCGCAACGTTTCAGCACAATAAAAGAAACCGTTCAGATGACCTGACTGAAAAATGTTCGTTTGTCTCGTTTGTCTCTGTGTCCCTGTGATGGGCTTGCGACCTGTCCAGGGTGTACCCCACCCCTCGCACAGTGATTGCTGGACATGGGCACCGGGACCCATGTGACCCAAAATGGAAGAAGCGGGTAAAAGATAATGGATAGATAGATGGATTTTTAATAAGACATTCCTAACCTATACTGGAAACAACAAACTGAGCTTCAAATTGATGAGCATCTGTTGTTGAAACCTAACAGCACACAATTTTCCTGTCATGTTCCGTTTACACTCCATTTGTTACTTAAGAACGTTTGTTCTACATTTTGTCCAAAAGCAGTTTGACCACAATTTGTATTCAGCCCTGATTAACACAAGACATATGAACAAAGATCTCAAGCCTGCCCTGAACATTTGTGATAATTTACCTTAGAACGTCAACATACACACCTGGAATATATTTTTCTGCTGCTGAGCAGGTGCGTCAGGCAGTGTCACACTTTGATCTGAAGGTTGCTGCATTTTACAGAGGGTGGGGGGAAATATAGGTGCAGTTCATAATTAAATTATGAATTAAAATACACATCTCCAAATTTCATCTCAGTAAGCCTTTTTGCTGTCCAAGTATGGGAGACGCAAATAATTGTCAAAAGATATGCGGGTAAAAGATAATGGGATGGATAGATATGCAATTTTGGCATGTTAGAAATAAAATAAGCTAAACCTCCCAAACCATAAACAAGTCAGGCATACTGAGATAAGTGCATACACCTGAACCCAAGTGAACCGTCCCTCATGCAAGCTAGTAATCTTTATCATTATGCTTTCATGATCCTTCATCCAATGACCATTCACATGGTTCTCATTTCCATTTTTGAATTTAACAATTTTGAGCTCACTTGCAAAAAGGACCGTTTTTAAATAGTGAACATGTAAGCGAAAACATATCCATCATGACTGAAATTTATGCCCACCATCATTTAGTTCAGTTTTTCCAATGAGTCGTCTGATTTTAGTATAAAAGCTTGGATGTAGCATCACAGGGCCAGATTGTACCAATTTCTTTGCAGCATGCAGAGTTAGTTATCCAGTGGACAACAGAAACGATAATGGGAGAAATACTTACATTGTTTGTGTTGAGTTTGGGGTGAGTTGGCAGAGTTCCACTTGCCTTCATGGTGCTGACCAGTTTATTAAAGGCTGACATGTCTGTATCACGCGAACGTGGTCGGCTGCTGGGGCCACCAGTTAAAGCCTCCTCTAAATGCTCAGCCATAAAGGGTGTGCCATCTCTTCTCTGTGGAGGGGACACCTTCTTCACACGTGGCTCTGCGTACAACTTCATTCCCTTCATCTCTCCCTCCACTTCCTCCAGTGAGAGCACCACCCCTGAATTAGCTGAGACATTAAAAAAAGGGACTTTGTGAATTATTAAAGTACAAGTTTTATTAATATAATGGGAATTATGGCATTATATAAATAAACAGAATTGAATTTTAACATTATGAAAGATCTGACAAATACTTAAATTTTCAATTTGGTAATCAAAATGTGGAAAATCAACAGTGGAATCCACCACTGCCACCCACCCAGCTGTTTATAGCCTTATTTTATTTAATTCATCACCGTGGATTGGGTGGAATGGAACTGAGGGCAGCGGGGCGGGCGGTGGTGGAGCACCTTATCATAACATCTTTAATAGTCGTCGGCTGAGCAAGTTTGCCGACGCAGCAGTTGGGTCCAGTTAAGCCACAGGTGAGTCGCTGGCAGCCATCCATCTGGACTTTTCAGTAGCCGAGTGAAAAGCTCTTCTGTCCCTCTAAAGCGGCCGGGCTTGGCCGTGCAAGTCTGCTGACGCAGTGGCTGGAAAGCTTCAGGTGGGTCACCGATAGTCATCCATCTGGACTTTATTTGTAGATATTTTAACCGCCTGGTCAGCGCGGTTGGTGGTGATCCAAACAGGATTGTCAGCCGTGTGCATCTGCTGATGCAATCAAAAGCCAGACACCAACCCGCCCGCCCATCCAGCCCATTATTTTGGCTTGGGCTGGACGTGGCCATGTTGGAAATGACAGCTCTACCACCCCACTGTTTTTAGTTTTATTTTATTTAATCCACCAAGTAGATTGGGTGGAATAGGGCTGGGAACAGCAGGGCAGTGGGTGCTGACTGTCAACGTGAAATGTAAAAACTCACGCGATGTAGAATCGACTAGTCGACAAGTCTACTCAACCTCTACCGTCTGCTACTCTCAGGCAGACGATACAGGAGTCTGCCATCGCGTACAAAAAGGACAGGTATTATCTACAAGCTGTCAGATTACTAAACTCCCAATAAATAACTGGAAATAACATTGCACCAAGCCACATCTGTGACAATATGATTGACTAATATTAGCTTGTGACAGCTATTATGTTTATTGTTTATTGCTGCAGCAATATGTGGCTGTATTATGTATGATCATTAACATACCTATTAGCTTCACGTAGACTCTCTCACTGGTATATATTAATCATTAAATCACTTCTTGGTCTGTTGCCTTCATACAGGTTCTAGTCATAAAATTAGAATATCATGAAAAAAAAGTTTATTTCAGTAATTCCATTCAAAAAGTGAAACTTTATATTATATTCATTACACAGACTGATGTATTTCAAATGTTTATTTCTTTTAATGTTGATGATTATAACTGACAAATGAAAACCCCAAATTCAGTATCTCAGAAAATATATAAAAAGGTTCAACATTGAAGACACCTGATGCCATGCTCTAATCAGCTAATTAACTAAAAACACCTGCAAAGGCCTTTAAATGGTCTCTCAGTCTAGTTCTGTAGGCTACACAATCATGGGGAAGACTGCCGACTTGACAGTTGTCCAAAAGAAACATTTGAAATGTATCAGTGTGTGTAATGAATGAACATAATATACAGGCTTCACTTTTTGAATGGAATAACTGAAACAAATCAACTTCTTCATGATATTCCAATTTTATGACCAGCACCTGTATATCATGTGCATTTTAGCTTATATTACTATCTTGAAATACTTTATTCATACAAATTCATCCCGCTTGCACTGTTAAAAATTCTACCATGTTATTGACTACCATTCTCTCTTTAGGACCTTGTAAATATAAATATTACATCTTCACTTTTTGGTACTTTTTTCACCCCCTTCCATTCTCCGGTGAAACCAGACGAGTTTCCCCGTCTTCCCCCCCACCCGCTTCCCTGCTGCGCTCTTTTGTCCTGTGAACCCTTAAAAAGTCCCTTTTTTTCCCTGCATACCTCTTAATTGGAAGGATCAGCTGGTCTCAACAAAATTGATCAACTTCTCCCGACAGGAGTCAGGGTAAGGAGGACCCTCTTACCTCGACGGAAAAAAATTGGATTAATGATGACAACTGGTTATTTTGCTGTTTGGGATGGTGAAATCTTGGATTGTCTACAAATTTGTGTGGATGTGTTGAAGCTCGACAGTGCTCACACTGAATGTGGGAATCTGCAACGGAGTTGGAGCAGCTGTTATCAGGACTGTGATCTTCCTGGCAGCACCCATGAACGGTGGGAATAATCTTGGAGAAGTTGTGAGCTCGACTTTTGGAGTAAAGGAACAATTCGGCTGTTTTGGAGTTTCATCAGAGAATATGTACCAGCGAGACTTTAATAAGGCAGAAACAACAATTCACGAGTTCTGCCTTACCCAAATTGTGGCCTTGACGCCGGACTTCTCAACTCCTCCTGGAATGTTTTGAAAACAACAAAGATACTTTGTTTCTTCATCCCTCCCTTCCCCAAGGCCGTGGACATGTAACAGAACCTCAACTGAGCTGAAGATGAATGTCACCCCTTATCTGGACTATGCTACAACTTTCCCTTAAAAATTCAATGTTTTCACCGGCCTATATGTACAGGTATAATGTCTGTTTATGTTGCTTTGCTGTGGTAGGTTTTTTTGATGCCTCAAATCATGCCCCGTTTAGAACACGGAGTGAGAGATTTTTTATATATCTATATCTATCTATCTATATCTATATATCTATATATATATATATAGTCTCTCATGTTTTCTTTCCTTTTCTCATCCAAGCAAAATATTATTCTGAATAAGAATAAGAGGGCCGCGCTAATTATTTATAGCCGCAGCTTCGTGCACTCCGCCCATCTTTCGGACGACTGTATGTACATATTCTCGTATCTCGGTGCAATGCCAATAAAGTTTATTCTGATTGCGTGCTTTAGTATTTTTTTTTTTTATTTAATTTTTTTAAGCAAGTCAAATCAGTTCTCTTCATCCTGAGCATTTCATTGTGCTGTGGACCTTGTGTTAACCTTGCATATGACAAATAAACGCAACTTGAAAACTGGTCTTTTTAAAATTATGCAAGTTGCTACATGATGGAAGACATCAAATAACTGCACAAGGAAATGATTGACAAAAGCAATAAATGATCGGTGAGGTAAGCATCTTATGCAGATGGTGTATGATTTTAAGCTGTAGTAAGAAATGAGGCCCCACATGCTGGGTGCAGAAACATTTTCCTGAACTAGCACTCACTGCTTTCCTGTAGTCGGGCTTTGTTGGCTGAGAGTGTTGACAGAAGGGGCTTCAGGTCTACTTTGGCTTTGTGCAGCAGGTCCAGGATGTCCACTTTCTCCTTGCACTCTGATGAGAAATTAAGAGAAATGGGTAAGTAGGTATGAAATATGAGGCAGGACCTTGGTTGAAAGAAGTGCAACTTTGCTCAAGACCTTTAGCATAGCAGTTCAACATTTATGACAGTTTAAGCCAAATAGTTCACATGTTGAATAGGGGGCAATTTAATCAAGTGACCAATTGGTACAGAAAATATTAATTCAGTCCAACATGATAGTCAGCAAATTTTATGCTGGATTTGGACATTAGATGTAAGAATATGCGTTTTGAAAAAAATGGTTAGTTATCGATACATTTATGGCTCTGAACACAATAACCACGACTGTATTGTTAAAAATAAATGACAGGGAGGAAAAAAAATAAAAAAAATAAAATCAAAACTACTGTAATTACCGGTGTAAAAGCCACTATTTGTCTCACATTTGTACCCCATGGTTTATATGCAGGAGCGTCTTATTTATGCTTTTTTTTTGGTCCATAATTTAAAAAAAAATTATGTTTTCATATTTTATTTTGAAGGACTTCCTGCTGTCTCTCGGTAGCTTCCTGCCACTGACTAACATTTTCCTTCGACACAGCTGGTTGCTCATGGCTCCCAGCACCCCGCCCCTCATTGGGGCAGGCATTTGTGACACAGAGAGCGCCCTCAGGTAATCAGATGTACAAGGCCTTGCTCACAGTTTCAAATACCCAACCATAACTCCACCCAATGTTCCCTTTAAGCTGCGCACCTGTGCAATTGCGCACTGCTTGCACATTCTCCGCGCACAAGAAAATCTATGATGTGCACAAAATAAAATTCAAACTGTAAATTTTTTAAATAAATAAAATTTTTTCTGTATCATTTTGCAATGTAACTCAGTGAGTGACAGGTGTCCAGCCCAAGAGACTAACCTCTACAGGTTGAATGAAAAATATGACGCAGTCAGTCATAGCATTTACAGTGTTTTTGTTACGCAAATTATGGCCATGTGTGTTGTGATGCCATGCAAGCAAGTAAACAAGGTAGCAACAGCGAGTTGGAGTTCAGAGACAAATTCTAAACCCTCATGGTGAAACGAACGGGGCAGTAATACATCAACTCACCAAGCTAAAATAAAGAAATGCGGTTCTTTTAAGATGGAATGGCTGTTGGGAGTATCTGCAAATGGAAGAACAAAATCGGTGAAACTGGGTGAGATTTTTTCTTTTTCCAGTGAGAAAGGTCTGCTTTGCAAAACATGCAGCAAAGCCAAAGATGCGAGTTTTCAGAGGGAAAATTTTGGACGGCATGGGCGTCAGAAGCATCTGTAATGTGTGTGTGTGCGCGCGCGTGCATGTGCAAAAATTGTACTCTAGTTTACAAAAAAAAAAAAAATAAAACATTTCATCTAGATTTCTTTAATTCCACTTAAAGTACGTTTCTCACCCAAGTTTGTGTAAATTCAGCTGTTTTAAGAACATTTCAACTTTAATACACTTCAGATCTGCACTATTTGAGTTTATAGAAAAATAAAAACTTCACTAGACTTTACTTGTGTTCAACACTACTCAACTAAATTATGTTTCTCACGAAGCTTGACGACAATAAGGTGTGGGGTTTCAAAGACATTTTAATTTTAATGCATTTTAACAGTGTCTTACACCTGTAGCGTCTTACAGCGTCACAGTTACTGCGAAGCCAAGATGCTACAGACGTAGCGCTCCTCTCAAGCATCCTCCTAACATGAATATATGTTTATGATCAACCCCTGGTCAACAACTGCCAGCACTAAGCTCGCTAAACTGGCAAGCGATCAACACAGAGGTGTCTCCACCTCCTCCACCTGTGTGCATTTTCTGCCAAGGTAGGATGAGATGCAGAAGCACTGCAGGTAAGAGGAGGTAACCAGGAAAACCTGGAGTGGATTTTTAGTGGTTTGAGTATTCTCCTATTAATCAAGTGGAATGGATTTGTTCACGAAGAAAGAAACAGCGCCGACTGAACTAATGTTTTATAGTAAAAGTGTGTGTGTGTGTGTGTGGGGGGGGGGGGTCCACATGAACTTTTTTTTATGTGAGGAGGACACGTCCCCTTCACATATAATGGTTGCAACGCCTATGGTGGACGGTACGAATGCGCGATATAAACGGTATACGGTAGAAATTTAGCCTACGATAGAGACCGTCTTCGACCGGCTAACAGCAGTAATGCTGTGTCTGAAGTAAAATCAGAGTTTTCAGTTTAATAGTTACTTTTTTTTTAGTTGAAAACTGTGCATAAGTGGTGTTCAAGTGTAAAATCAGAGCTGTCAGATTTAATCATTGCTTTTTTTTAATTGAAAACTGTGCGCAAGTGGCGTTAAAGTCTTTTCTTCGAGAGCTAATTAGTGAAGCTACAAGCTAACTACAGCCGGCTTGCCGTAGCGTTGCCGTATTCCGACGCATGCGCAAAATGCCGTGTTCCGTCAAAAGGTTTTTTTTTCCCCCATTGAAAGTTAAAGTAAGCATTGGTCAGCTTTAGAGAAACCTGCTCTGATCTGTGAAAAGAACACTGTTGTATGAAGGTCTCTGTTGCAATTTACTGAAAGACCCTCTGGTCAAAGCCACAGACTCATTTTGTGTCAGCTCTCCATTAAAGCAGAAGGAGTCGCCCACTAGAGGGTTAGAGGGTGAAGTGTTTCAGTGTAAAATGCTGCTCTGTTGCTGTTCATTTATTCAGTGACAAGACTGGAAACTGTTAAGAGTTAACATATTTTTTCGTTTACAACATATGGCTAAAACTACATTTGATATATTTTGCACTGTTTTGCACTACAAGAGGGAAGCCTAATACTTTGTTTATTATTTAAAAACTCTGGACCTAGTAGTGGAATTTTAATTCAAAATATATGATGGCAAAAGGACACCCTATGCTTTTAAAACAATTTTTTTTAGCAAGTTTTATACCAAAAACATATTGCAATATATATCGTTATCGCCACCCTTCACAATACATATTGTGATATGAATTTTATGCCATTTTGCACATTCCTAGTGGATGGAATGGAAATTGGACTACCTCAAGTGTCACATTCAGCAGAAAAGTAATTTGAAAGCTGTTGGAATTGTACGAAGACTCAAGATGGGACAGGGGACTGGTACATTATTACAAGAGGTTGCAAAAGACAGAAAAGGAACGAGCTGTCGCACAAAACTAAATCTGACCTTGAGCAAGTTAAAAGTTCTCAATGTTAACATTTTAGGCCTGTCACGATAAATTTTGCTGGGCGATTAATAGTCTCAGAAATTATTGCGATAAACAATATCGTTTGAAATTTAACAAGAATTGTCAAATTTTAGAAGAAAAAGTTAATTTGCTTGGTGTGTAATACCTTTTGACCACCTGATGGCAGTATTAGATGGTTTGAACCAAAGGATGGATAGCCGAGTAGAGTGTCTCTAAGAAAAAGGGAGGGGACCTTGACGTGACATGGGCTGACATGGTGATATGGCGGACGCTCGGTGATTTGAGCTCTTTTGTATAGCATTTTTCACACAAAGCTTTTAATTAAAATAAATGAATAATTCCGTAAACAAGTTCTCAACTTATTTTTGAGGAGAAAATTAACTTTACACACCAAGGCACGGGTTTCAACTGAATTTTGGAGCTTGACAAGACTAAGGTTATACATATAACAGTACACAAAAAATTAGTCTTGCATATTAAATACAAGGAGGAAATGATGTTGACTATTAAACTGTGCCAGGGTATGCCAGGGTGCATTTTTAACACAGCACATACTGCATTTTCCGGCCTACAAGTCGCCGTTTTTTTTGCATAATTTGTATGCCCTGCGACTTGTACATCAAAGCGATTTATTTATATTTTCCCTTATTTATAAACCAATTTTTTTTTATACCCTCACCCAGACCAGAGGAGGACTCTTCCCATCTCAAGAACAAGATTTTTGACACTTCTAGATGCAGAGAGGACCACCTGCATCATGAAGGACCCCACTTACTCAGCACACACACTTTTTGCCTCGCTCTCCTCAGGGAGAAGGTTGCGGAGCATTAAGTGTAGAACCACTAGATTGAAGAACAGCTTCTATTCTGAAGATGTTGAGACTCAAATCCTTAATCAGAATAATCACTGTAAGAAAAAATAAATAAAAATCACTGTAATGCCACTTTAATTGGTGATATGAGACATCTGTGCTGCCGATTATCCATGCTGCTGTATTAATTCATACCCATCTACTCACCACAGACTCATGTTCGTGCTGTTTAATATACTATTATTTTACATCAGTATTTAGTGTACATCTTAGATCTTTTAATGAATTTTTAGCATTCGTTTAGCGTATATTTTAAGTGTATATCTTAAGATTCTTATATACAGTTTTTTTTTATACTTTGTCCAAACAAGATTAAAAGCAAAAACAACTGGGCTTCTGTTCTGTAGCCATTTCGTTTCTCATACGAGTAGCTTTAGAAAACAAACAAACAAAACAAGGAGTGCGGGATTCAAGTTATAAAACTTGATGTGGTCTGTAAATGCGTTCATAATTCAGACTGATATGCTGATTAGTTCCACCCACATAAGAGTCGCTCTGCTCACATTGTTGAAATTCCTGATAGGTGTGAAAATGGCTGTGTTTCAGTCCTAAAGCGGCATTATAAAGTTTTTTAAAAGTTGAAATCCGAGACCACCTCCTCTGTTTAAAAGATGGTTTCTCTTTATACATAAATTGCTTCCTTGAATCACGAAGGAACCCACTCACCCAGCACATACACTTTTTGCCCCGCTCCTCTCAGGCAGGTTGAGGAGCATTGTGCAGAACCACTAGATTGAGCTTCTTCCCTGAAGCTGTTAAGACTCAAATTCCTAACCAGGAGGGGGAAAAACAAACAAACCAAAAAAAAAAAAAAAAAAACATCGTAATGCTACTTGATTGCCAATATGTGCTGCTGACTATCCATGCTGCGGATTTATTTCACGCTGCCGTGTTCATTTGTACTCACCTGCTCAGATTCATGTTGGCGTTGCTGTTGTCCGGCGTATTGTT